TGCGCTGATGTCCGTTGCTTTTGTTACCGTGCAGGTATCGTCACAACGTACGACCGATCGATCTGTTATCTTGAAAAATTTTATGAAACGCCAAAATCAGCGTGACGCAGCATTCAAGTACTTAATACCTTGCACGGCGATATTTATCGAGGAATATTTCGAATATCCAGATGAAATATCATTTCTAATACCGGACATGCCTGCACAGGACATTTCCGATGTCGTAGAACCGCTGATAAACGAATTACGCGTGACAAGCGCTATTTACACATTAAACGCCAGTCTGACGAATGTAATGGAGGTAGCATACGATGCTTTGGAAAATGTTGTTATTTTGTTAGAGAGCGGAATCGCTCTCGAAGCGAACGATTCCTCCTTTGTCAATTACTGCGAGCACGACTGCAATTTTATAATAGTGCTAACGAATCTGTTCACCGATAAAGAAAGCTTCCTGATAGAAGCTGGTACGCTTGTACAACAAATGTCACTGCGATCGATTTTCAAGCTCGAGATATTGGCGTCAGTCGGAGATTCGGTTCTGCTCGCCAGTAGCCTTTTGGTCCGGACCAACGAATCGTACGCACTTGCCGAACCAGCATTTTCAGGCAGATGCGAACAGGAAGCTGCTGCAATTCGATGGCAGCGTTTCGCAAATAAAACGAAATCGTTACTCGATGCTAGTAGTATCGTGAATGCGGCAATGTTCAACAATTTTCCATTCACGTTTTTCATTAATGACACTAACTATTTAAGTTTCGGTGGGGTCGAAGGTTCAATGGTGGAAGAAATTGCACGTAACATGAAAATTCAGTTGAACAGAGAAGCGATCGAATGGATGCATGAGACTACGAAAGCAGAGTTATATCTGAGACTTCATAACGCGACTAACGATTTGGTGTTCGGTGGTCTCCTATGGGATTTCAGTCGAAGAGTGACGTACACGACTTGTTACGGTATGGTGCACATTTCGTGGATAATACCGATGGAAACGAACGTTTCTCTAGCTGGTTTGATAGCGCCATTCGACGTGAATATTTGGTGTTCTATTATCTGCGTTTTAATAGTTGGTGGACTCGTAAAACTATTTGTTATTCGTGACCTTACATTTTTGGACATCGCAGCATTGATTTTCGGTGTGCCAGTGTCTCAGCCGACGAAAACTTCTAGCAGAATTCTATTCATATCTTGGTCTTTGTTTGGTTTTTTTCTCACGCAACTTTATTTGGGATCACTGGCTGATTATCTGATTAGTACATCGGATATGCAGATGGAGTCTATGGAGGAGTTAGTTAAATCAGGACTAAAGCTGGGTGGGACTCAGCGATTCGCGGATTTGTTAGAAACGCCTGACAAAGCTAATACGGAAGATTACGTTGACCAAATGATTCGTGAGAATTTTTTTATTTTTGACCAACAAGATTACAGTAATTACTTGTTGGACATTGTGGAAGGAAGAAATACTAGTTTAGCTCTTGTTGTAATGTTGAATTTGACAAATAATCATCGTCATTCTACTATAGGGCATGCTCATATTATAAAAGAAACCGTGGGCAGTTATCCATTAGCCTTCGTCACTCGGCAAGGTTTTCCATATTTGAGAGAATTTAATGTCAAGATTCTAATGCTCGTTCAAGCTGGTCTTGTTGAATTTTGGTCAAATATGGCAAGATTGAACGAAAGTTATTACAAAGCGGGAGAAGACAGTAGTTCGCAACTTGAAATCAACGATATCGCGCCGGCCTTTTTCCTATTGATTATAGGATATCTTGGTGGGTGCTGTCTACTGATTATAGAAGTTATTTTTTATCCATCCAAATGGTTTTTATAAATTTATTTTCAAACGTTTTTATATAAACAGATGACTGGTTTAAATTATTGTATCTTGCGATTATTGCAAATTTTTAATTCTAAACACATAAATGTATTTTACTAACTGTTGCATATATATTTGTCTTCTCTAGTCAATATTCTGTATTCAACTTAATAAATACGCATGATGTCATTCTTTGAAATGCGACGAAATACCAAAATGTCATATAATTTATTGCTTACTATCTGATGTATATGACGCGTAGCAGGTCTTAAAATGCAATTTAAGAGCATATATGCTAAATACACTTTTAAACTTGTCTTATTAAAAAATAAAACTTCCAGTGAAAAAGCTCTATCATATACATTTTTCATTTACTCTTTCGCGATTACTATATTATAAATCATGTTAACGTCAGTATATCTATGTATAGAGTATCTCAAGTTTCTGTCACATCTCTTTTTTTTACCTGCGCTTTTTGAACCAGACGTTTTTATAAAAGATTAATATATCTACATCTTATCACAATTTCAGTGTCTGACATTAAGTAGTTTTAAACGTGACAGATGTTTTATAAGACTATTTTGATTGAGTGAAATATGAAAAAAATTATATATAATTTTATTATCTTTGTATGATTTTGTGTATAGATATGTATATCATTTTATTTTAACTGTACGTTATAAGACATTTTGCTAATGTTTGATAGTTTTAAGGATATCTTTATCACATATTCTGAAATTTTTTCTCGGTTATAAGATAACTATTCTAGCTAGCTCATTAACCGTTCATAATAGTCTATCGAGATTCCATGGAATATTTAAGCACGTCTCCCAGATAAAATAGCCCGGCAGCGAGTTAATTAGAAAAGTTCCCGGCTAATTTCATTAAACCTCTCTCTGTGTATCTTACTGAAGGAAGTAAAACTTCAAGAGGTGAAATGTCGATTTTCAAATTTATACGTAACAATATTATTGGCTGTGATTCTATTTGATTGATGCAAAACATTTTTATATCTATCAAATAAAGTCCAAAACAGTTGCAATAAAATCGAAATAAAATTGTTGCCAATGACTTCCTTTTGTATTCCTTTTTTTAGTTGAAAAATTTTTTTGATCGTCTCTTCAAAGAATTCCAGACTTCTAAGACTCAGACTTTGTGTAACGTAAATTTTGATAAGAAACGACTAATTTATCGCCCCAATCAAATTATTTTTATTCGTGTCTTTTGTGCTTCTTCTTGCGATTGTAATACATATCACATACAAAATATTATAATTAAAATATGATACTTTTTATCTACTTTCTTCCGTCTTTGCTGTTTATTGTCTGTCGCATACAAATCTTTATTAAAAGCTTTTGGCGATAAATATTGTATAATTGATTGTATGACCAAATTTTGGAAAACTTGAAATGTTTTTAAAATGTAATGTATAAAGAAATGCACTCAAAATATTATATTACATTTTACAAGATATTCTTTTGAGATTTTCTAGACAAAAAATGTTTTAGAGTAAATTTTGTGACGTTTTGTGATTTTCTACTGTTAACCAATTTAGTATTCGAAACAAGCGTGATGCATACAAATTAATATACACATCGTTCTTAACTTAGGAAAATATATTTAAATATATTTGTGCGCACTTTCGAATTTTATAGTTTTAACAATATTACAATAAGATATGTAAATGTTGAGTATAAGTATGAAATAAAATGTATAATTTTTTCGGAATTTTCAATATATAAATTAATAATAATACAAAAAAAAGTATGTATATGTATATGTGTCATGTCAGTTTCTATCTTCTTCCACGTTAGTGTATTAATAGCATAGAAAGTAAATCTTTTGAGTAACACGGAAAAGCAACAAGAGGAAAAGAAAGAGACAATTAATTCTATCCTTTTTTGTATCATAGTAATCGCTGTTACATGTTTGATCATACGATTGAATACAGCGTGACATTCGACGTTATGCGACGTTGTTCCGCGGTGTTTTGTGCGAGCGAAAAAGTCAAAGAGCAAGATGGCATCGTTAATCAGAGCAAATCCAAGCGTGATTTCCGGTCATCGGGTCAATACCGGCGACAAAACGAACCAAACTGCGGACGAAAGGTCCCGTTCACTAGATTGGCGCGAATGCTCGTGTAATCAGCTATTGGCGTTGAGTTTACGTTCTAATGACGGCGAAACGTGCGCCGAATCCATTTCTGCCAGAATGCAATCGGAGCGCGCGATATACTACACCGGAAATCGATGACTATGTCACGATATCATAATGAATATCAGCGCAAACTTACTAAGAAACTTTCGACTATCTCGTAAAAGATATATTTTATAGCTGTGAAAACCATTTCATAAAATCATTCTGTAATAAAATAGCACTAATTAGTGAGATGTCGAGATAGCAATCTACAATTTAATGCATTTTGGTGTGTTTCATAAGCTATATTTAAATAATGTAAATTTAAATACTTTAAACATTTAATTTGTAGATAGTATAGTAATGAAAAACGTAGTTTTTGAAGAGTTACCAAAAAAAAGTCGCAACAATTGCGGAAACGCGCTATCTGCGAAAATTTAAAGATTAATCAAGCTGACGAAATTTATTTTGTACATTGATTCGAAAGAATTTCGGTTGTTCGCTATCGCTATCGGACAACCGAAGAGAATGAGAAAGATCGCACGAATTTATCGAAATGTTGTACGTAGGAATACCTATATCTAATCTGGTATCCAGCGGAGCCAAATCGAGTTTGCTCTCTTTGGATTCTACGCGTTAGGAAAACGTGTAATCCAAACCGAATCAAAGTTCATAGAAGAACAAACTGAGATAACGGAGTTAAGAAAGAGAAGTAGGGAGCCCAAGAACTATAGGGTGGACTCCGGCAAATTTACGGCCACGGCTTACCAAACCTCCCTGATCTAGTGCGATCTTACCTTCTTCTACCCTCCGCTATCGTTCTTTCTCTTTTTTACTTATTGCTTTAGTTAGGCGAACCTCTCCGTTTTTAGTAATAAGTAATGGCGAGATATATACAGACGTTTTGGCGCCGGACGCGCGAGGCGACGCGACGTCTCGACGATGTCGAATCCAAATCTTGGCGACTAAATGCACTGCGCCATTTATATGGATCTCGCTTTCATTTTTATCTTTTTTTTTTTTGCGACATGGACATTCTGCATCGTCGATCACAAAAGGACTCGTTAAGGAAAAGTCAATTACTTAACAAGACCTTGGCATACTTTTAACTCATTCAAGATATAACGATATGAATTTATCTGTATTTATTTTAAAAAAAACTAAATAAATTGCATAGTTTAACTCTCGATTATATACGTACAATTTTGATGGACTAGATATTATTGATTTATTGATTTTATAAAGAGTTATAGAGTAAACGTATAACATAAGGAGTGCTTCAAACTATAAAAAGTGACAAACTAAACTGTATCTCTTCTATACTATCATACAAAAGCACTTTGCTATGAAATATTTTTATTTTTTTCACTCTTTTTATGGGTTGAGTTCACTGTTGCATCTCGTAATATAATGTCTGCGTTCCTAATTGCACTTTAGTCTATGTTGAATGAAAATAATGAAAGACCTAGATTTTTATTATAGCTATTGATCGCTATAGTTATCTTGGTTTTTCAACAATAAAGTTCAATGCAATAAATAAAACGCGCAATGCTTCTTAATTGTGATCTTATCAGAATACACAATTATGAATCACAATTATGAATCAATGTAATTAACAGCGAAATGAAATTATTTCCAATTTTATTGTAATGTATATATTATAAGTTATCTTATTTCTTGTAAAATGTTGCTACTGCATACAAATTTATACTGGCCGTATCACATGTCAGATAGAAAAGGGAAAGTACATATATTATTTGAAGAACGAAACATGGACGATTATTTGCGGAACAATAACGGAAAATCGGTCATTCCTGAATTCGGAATGTCTTTACGTTTACGAGATTGGTGACCTAGTTTTGCTCAGTCCACCAGCTAATAGAATATTGCTTGTTTTCCTTTCTTCTTTCATTCCTCGAAACACAAATGAACCCTAGTTTGTATTTTTTTTCATACCAATGTATCGTTTTTAACATATCGACGGTTTCATTGAAAACTTTTTTTAATCTCAGTATTGCAATTCATTTTTTTATATCAATAATTTTGATAATCCTAGTGTGAAATGTGATTTTACTATAATAAAATCCGTATATTGTATCATATTTTTTGGTTATAATTCATTAAACATTTATTTCATATTTTACACATACAATATATACTATATAAAAAAAGATAATTGTATCAAGTTGGGAGAAGCAAATAAATTTGTGAAATATAATATCGTTACAGCTTTATATATATATACAGCAAATAATAGAGCAATAATCTTGTCTTTGTGCGTTGTTCTCATGTTTTATCACAGATTATTTGTTGGAACGTATTGAACTTTTTTTAATGTCAGCATAATACATAGAAGTGTAGAAAGACAAAGTAGCGTTGACAGAGAGATGAAATAATCCACGCGATATACAATGTGAAATAAAAGATTGAAAATGTGAAATTTGAAATTTTACGAACTCGAGGAGGCAGATTATACTCTTCCGGTTTCACATTAATGCCGCTTTTTTCATGCTTAAAAGTTTTTATCTTTTCAAATGACATGAATGCTATGATTTTTTTTAAATTCTTGCATAATTTAAATGTATATTTCGTTCAAATTTCACCGTTTTTGTGTACTCAAAGTATAAATATTTTTAATTTTATTTATCTTTTTATTTCTTATAATTTGTCTCATCATAAAAGATCTCGGAAGAATCCACATCTATTCTAGTTGAAGCGGAACGGAACGTGTATGTACTTGCATTCCGCATCCTCTGTATCCTTGTAGAAACTTTTAATTACATCATCCTCCAGAAAGGTTTTCTCGTTAATTTAATAAGAAATTCTCCCAAACGTATTGTTTTCTGCAAGATAAACAATGACTCGCGGTAAATTACATGGTAAGTTAAAAATTTAATCGATTCAGACTTTTATCGAACGTTAAGCTTGCCATCAATTGTGTTTATCAGAATTGATGTAATAATGAGATCAGAGTTTGCGTGTTTACGGATATAGCTTATTGAGACGTAATTCGTTATTAAATGCGATTATTGTCGTTTGGCAAGATTGATCATTTCAGCAAAATCAATCGCTAATCACGATAATTAGTTCACCGTTCAATGAAAACTTGCTATATGTAATCTTGGTGTTGCCTATATCTGGAATTACATTGCATATTAAAGATATATCTGGAATACATTGCATATTAAAGATATTGGAGAAAGGATTATCTAGACCTTATCTAAACGGTTTGATTATAATTAACTCGACTGCGGAGGTGTTTCAGGAAACGTGGGATATGAGGATCAATGCGATCCCCAAGTTGCCCTGGATTCTTTCGTTTGGGTAAAACGGCTATTTTTTTATCAATGAGCAATAAATAAATCATTAATTCGTTGTCTTCGCTTATATTTATTCTTGTTGCTATTGTTGTATTAAGCTCTGTCCTTTAGACTCGTCGATTTCTTGTCGCGTACAAAAAAGTCGCAATTATTCTTTTTATTATTTAATATCCGCTTGTTTGGAACGATCGAACTAGCTGTTTTACGACCTAGAAGATAGATCCTCACAGCCTTGTATACCATAAAGAAAGCACGCGGTCTATTGATTTTACATTTACCTGTATGCATGAAGTAAATATCCGTGAAGCGTGATAGTTACACGTGGGATTGCTGTACACAACGTCGTTTGGCGTCAGCCAAACCGTATCGGATCTATTCAACGTCAGCGTTACATCGCCCCCATCGAGTAGCGTAATTTGCTTCGCACGCGATTCACGATTTAACATGTGAACATGTCTCACACGGTGAGACAGATCAGTGCGTTAATCTATATTGCTCACTGCTTGCGAAAACACTGTACATAAGCGCAATTTTTTATTCCTGAAATTTTTTATTTCAAAACTACAACAAATATATTTATGTTATCAAATATTATATTATGATTTATTTCTTTCGCTGATATGTGTGTGTGTGTGTGTGTGTGTGTGTGTGTGTGTGTGTGTGTTGCAATAATAGTTTCTCCTTTTTCAAGAGCATTTACTTTTTTATTAACTTAGAAAATGCTTTTATGGTTTCTTTTTCTTAATTTATTTTATTATTAATATTTGATCAACACGTTAATGTTGCTTCTACTAAAAAATAAAAGTTAAATAATTTTGTATTTATCATTATTTTTTGTAAATATATGTACATATAAAGCTGTTTCAAGTAAATTTATGTATCACGAGATTTGGTGCAAAATAAAGAAAACTGTAAAGAAAATTCTCAATTGCTGTAGCTGCTATTAAGTCGAGAAGATATTTAAGATGATGAATGCTTTTCACGAGTATCTTTTGGGTAGCGCTCGTAGAGGCGAGAGAAGAAAATACCGGGCCGTTCCTGAAACTTCAGGCTCATTTCACGCGGACGAATAAAAGTAATTTGCTAAAGGGTTTCCACCTAATCCACCCACAATCCCGCTAGCCAAATTCTCTTTTCCTGTCTTCGTGGAAAATCCCTACCGTATATACGAACTACCGTATATACCCTGACTATTTATATACATATATATCCATTTAAAACGTATATATATATATATATATATATACATACGTTTTAAATGGAGATAGCTCCGCGGAGTTGACTTCAAATCGATCTAGAATCTCACGAGTATATTCTTTTTCGGATTTTCTTTCTTTCCTCGAAAATTATCTTCTGCAATAGTTGGTGGGGCTTGCTCGGTAGCTATACTGCGCGTAGTTGGTACGGCGACTCGTAGTCGAATAGAACCGACATTCGCATTAGGATAACGGTGACAATCGGGTGATGTCGGGTAATGTCAGAACATGATGATTGATTGTAAACTACATCCCGCGCTCATAAATCGGTGCGTGATAGTGACATATAAGCACGTGAATACTCTAGTACTATTGTCGGGTTGTATTATACTTGCTCCGTACAGTATGCGAGAACGCGAGCGGTGCGCGCACGAAACAGACGAAGATAATATTAAACCTCTGATGATGTATGAATCTATCATATTAGCAGTACCTATATCTTATTAAAGAGAAGGATGTATAATCGTAACAGACTCGTAACAGAACATTTTCGGCATATGCAAAGCGCCAATATGGTAATGTCGGTCATTGTAATACAATATACTCGATATGTAACAATTAAAAAGATTCGATCCAATTATGAATTTATTATGATAACGTATAGTAAAATACCTGCATTAAAATAAAAGATAAGGACGGAAAAAAGCACGGAGAAAATGCGAAAAGAATAAATGGGGTAATTTTAATTGAATGATTTTGATTTTGGCAAAATAACGCCATGCTGAAAAACTCACCTACGAAAATCTCTGCTCCAGCAAGCGTATATCACGGGATTCATTCCACTGTTAATCCAGCCGAGCCAAGTGACGGCCGCAGATACGATTTCTTCCTGCCATATGCACCTGGTGCAGAATCCCGACCATAGATTCACAACGAAGAACGGCAGCCAACAAATAATAAATACACCCATAACGATACCAAGGGTCTTTGCCGCCTTTTTCTCCTTGGCGAATTTGGCGAGTTTACGCGAGAGAGAGAAATTTTTGGTCTGGCCTAGATGTTGTTTATTGTTGATCCTCACGGAGGGCACTCTGGTGAGACCATTGTTGTGAAGAGCCGTTAACGGTTCCTCGAGATCTTGGAGATCTTCGGGTGTGCTCGAGGCGGTGCGAAAAAGGTGTCTAGCGTCGGTGTTGGTGGCACCGCCTCGATGTATCCTCAGCGTGAGTTCGAGCTCGCCCGAGGCCATCATCACCTGCTTTGTGCCGAGTTTTAGACTCCTCGTCTGTATTACGGCGGCGCGATAGATTCTGTAATACGTGAATACCATCACAAATAGCGGCAGGTAAAAACTGATTGTCGACGAGAATATCAGGTAACCGAGATTCTCCGTAAAGGGACACTTGTCTTTCGGCACTTGCTCAGTACGAACGGCACGCCACCACGCTATTGCAGGAAAGGAGATCGCACTCGAGCAAATCCATACGATGGCGATTAGGATAGCCGCGCGTTTTCTACTCATTCGAGTCGGATACGTGAAGGGATCGGTAATTGCCCAGTAGCGATCCAGACTAATAACACACAAGTTTAGAATAGATGCGGTGGAGAAGAGAACATCGAGCGAGCGCCAAACATCGCACCAGTCCGTCGTGAATAGCCAACGGTTCTCCAATACCTCGTATATCGCGCTAATTGGCATCACTACCAGTCCTACCAGGCAATCGGCGCAAGCCAACGAAGTCACAAAGTAGTTTGTAGCTGTGTGCAGATGCCTCTCTCGAAATACCGCGAGGATCACTAACGAGTTGCCGAAAACGGTAGCTACGGAGAAGAGCAATAAAACGATCGCGAGACCGATTCGATCTGAAGCAAGTTCCCAGAGATCCTCATAGGTATGATTAAATGGTGGATAGCTCGCGTTATAAAAGCTCCTGCCAAGATCGTTGTTTAATGCGTGTACCTCTTCTTCCCAATTCAATAGATAAATCTCGCTGTCATTCATGTTTTACCGTGCGCAGCCGTATTACTACGACGGTCTTTCAACCGTAATCACCCTGACGTGTGATTGTCCAAGACGCTCTTGACCTTTTTAATTTTCCCTAGGCGACTAAACGTCAGGGCATCGGCATTGCGTATACATTTGCGAGATTTTTCATTTTCGTCTGTCCTCTCATCTCGTTTCACTGACTGTAAGATGTTTCGAATCATTACAATTTTTAATGAGATTGCTGTCGAATTTTACTTGCTAAGTTGTCATTCTATGATTTGATTATGTCTTATAAAGTTTAATTAAACTTTATCAACTTGTTTATCTATCTGATTACAGGGCATTTGGTACGTGTCTTTTTCAGCCGTAATACTAAAGAACGTAATAAAGTAGAAAACTCAATCATCACACAGGTATAATCGAGAGATAATATGTCAAAAGTTTAGATTTTTCCTATTTTCTTCAGCAGTATTTTCATTCGGCTAGGATTATCGTTCTTTCAAATATCTGAAACAAGCAAATAAGCTCGTAAAAGTTTGTCCCTTAAAATAGATGTTGATGAGAAAAGTGAAACAAAAATTTTGCGAGTTAAATAATTTTGCTTGTATTATATTGTGATTCTTTTTTAAATAAAATTAATATTCTTTTATAATCCAAGTTAGTTTAATTCTAATTGTGCATTCTGAGAGAAAGAGAGAGAGAGAGAGAGAGAGAGAGAGAGAGAGAGAGAGAGGGAGAGAATATTTTATTTTATTACAAATTTTTAATACACATGTGAAAATAAATTTTAATTTTTCTTATTTGATCAGATGTTTTACTATTGGTAATATAACTTTTATAGAACGGTAATATATTTTATATGCTTACAATTCCCATCGCAATTGTAGATTATTCGAAAGATATCGGTAATACGAAAATAATAGCAATAATTTTATCAAAACAAAATATCCTTATCTATAGATGATATATAATTATGGATTGTACGATCAATACAATATATATATATATATATGTATTTAGATATTTAGAATTTATATAAAAATGATGTAAATATTAAATAATAAAAATATACGCGAAAGTAATGAAATCAACATTATAATCTAGGCAGGCATTAAGCTAATATTTTTTATATGTTTAAGACATATCGAATTTCATTTTGAGAATACTTTTTATTATCGTCTAAATTTGAAATAAAGTTATAAAGTGCTGAATAAGACATGGTAGGATGTGTGTGTGTGTGTGTGTGTGTGTGTGTGTGAGAAAAAGATTTATATTTCTCCAAAGTGAGAATAAGGGTTAAATTAAGCTTTTATCCGTGCAACTATTTATCTGTTGCTGTTTGAACAAAAGCAATTCTGATAAGGTTAAACCACAACAATAGTGTAGCTCAGTTAGATTTGCGCTTAGATCCTGTGTCACATATATCGTGATACGCAAGATCCAAGTTAACAATGACCGTAGAGATCAAGTAGTCTTAGTTCTATCACGTACAATATACCGTAATCGCTGCTGCAAATTAATGATGTATACAGCGGTTAAAGTGAAAGACAAACGTATTAACGTAATCTAATTTGAAGCAAACTTTCTTGTCTCGATTATTTTATTGGCGACAATATTGCGACTTTATTATATACCAGAGACATGATGTCTGAGAACTTTCCCCTTCGAGATATTATTTTTATTTCGTAACTAATATTAAGGCTATTGTGCCGCAAATCATATTTTGTACATGGGTCTTGAATCTTTATTCGAAAATTGCTTTTATCATCTGAATATTGAATTTATTCAGACAAATGAAAGCTTATCAAAAGAAATTGTCAATATTGGATCAATTTTCAGAAAATGTTGTCTAAAAAGTGCCTTTTGTTATGCAATTGAAAGTAATATTATATAATACTATTAACATCAGTTATTACAGCAAATTGAAATACTGTATTAGTTAATTCTCGCTCATGCCGTACGTGAACAATCAGTTTCAAAGAGCCTCGACATTCTCTTTCATCGTTCACTGTCTATAAACCGCTCGCCAACTATGGCTATTTATGGATATTCATCGTTGAGTGATTATCACGATCATCTTTGACCCCGCACCCTCGCGTCCTCGTGGTCTCCCTCGTTTTAGCAGTGTAATATATATGTATACTCGATCTTATACGTAGAGCCCGCTCCCGTGTTGAAGAAGGCCGCCGTTGAACTTGGTCATTACGGATGAATAGTACCAATGGCGATCGATATGCACATAGTACTATAAAAAAGTAAGTTTTCCAGAACGGCCAACTTATTAATGAAGAATATATTTTTCTGGAACGGCGAATCAAAAATATCTGCTCCTTCGTAAAGTCTTCATATTATATATATATATATATATATATATATATATATATATTTTTTTTAAAAGTGTTTGCACATAAGTTTTAACAAACTATAGAAGCAAATAATTTTAAATTGTTCAGATAAGTTTATAATAATCCTATCTTTTCTAATTTAACAATATTTCAAATTTCATTGATAAATAAAGTATTTTATTGAAAAAGTCTACTTCTTTTATTTATCAATAAATAGTGTACAATTTGAAAATCCAGATTGATAAGAATAAACGTGACAATGTTAAACGGTCTCTCAAATAAATACGTATGTTTGTAATGAAGAGTGTATCTTTTAAAAAGGAAATCCTTATATCTCACATTTCTTGACGAGGGTTGAGCTAGATCTACGTGTGATTTCTTTCCCTGTTTCTTTAGGAACTTACGAAATTGCGATTGGAGGATCAAGAGAGGGTAGAGATAACTTACGTAACTGATCGGACGAATAGGAAAGAATATCAAGGGCAAGGAAGCGAAAAATTGAACAGAAAAATCGAAGGAATTGTATACGTATAAATATTTTACAAAATTCGCATATTGAAACAATAAGAATAATATCGTTTGAATGAAATTTCAATATTTTTATTTGCAATTAATTTATAATCTCAAATACATTTAAATAATTTAAACAAGATGTTTATTGTCATATAGATTTTCGTATCAAAAATTAATGGAGATTATACATAAATGCATATAGTAAAAAATAATGTAATCACATAATTGACAAAGAACAGGAGAAACAAGTATGCAATGTTGGGCAATGAATTCTATTATAATTTATGCTATACCTATTAATTTTCAATATTTTTCTCTTCTTTTATTCGCTACTGAAATGACATCATAATATCTCAATTAACTTCGGAGGAAGGAGAAATCTGTTTTATAAGGCTTGATATCACATTCGCGTTTGTGACCCCGTCGCGACCAATTGCAAAATTGCATAAGATTGGTCAAGAGATAATCGTGTAAGCCGGAAGTCCGTGGGTGTCAATGATCTATTATCATTTATAACTTTAGACGTTCATTCATTAATTTTGCGCTTATAAGGTTTAGTTAACTTTTAATAAAAATATCTGCTTGCTTAAAAAGATGGGTAATTATGTTTATACTAACTTATTTTGATAACGTTACAATGAAAATAAATTGTATATTAACATACTATCTATCGGGATTATCTACCGGCATTACGTGCTTTCTCTAAATTTTATGGATATTATTGCGAAATCAAGTTAAGTAACTTCAGATTTTAATTTCTTCAACTATTCAATAATTTTTTATTTGCGCTACGCGGGTAAATTAACGATGAAATTAATAAAAGAAATAATCTAAAGAATTTACCTGATACTTCCATTTCAGAACAAAAAGTCTCTTATATTATTCATACATAACAATAATAATGACATAATAATTTTCATTTTTTTTGCATATTTTCACATAATTAGGCACAATTTAACTTGAGAATTATACAATATGATTTGTAAGTGCACGAATATAGTTATGTACAAATTGATGTCACATTGATATTGACCTTGACATTTTTTTAATTAGCACATATAAATCTAATTTTTCGCAAATGTATTTGATTACAAAAATTGCAGCACCATTTGCGTTTGTTTGTATAGAACTTTACATCATTATATTTGTATTAGTCCATTTGGTAAGAAATGCTAATTGATCTATGTAATCTTTGATTGAATAGCGGATATTCTTTTGATAAGCTTTCAATCTTCGATAATCCTGCCTCATCAATAGATATTTCTTTCGTTGTCATTTTTCCTTATATATTATTATTGTATCGATGTGCCACAAATGTCTTTTCTTGAATAATTCTAAACAATACAACATGCATTTTCGGATGCGATGTAAAATAAAGAGTGTTGAATATTAAAAATTAAAATAGTGTTTAAATATATATAAAAAAAGGTTAAATAAGCTTTAAAAATAAAACGATAATATTGCTAGGTATAATTTCTGATGTATTAATGTTTAAAGTGTTTACTATGTATACATTAGCGCGATCAACTTCATCTATGTATCTCTCGGAGTGTTTCACAGTGTATTGTCACGAATCGTTAATCTTTTCTCCAATTATCATGAAAATGTACCTATGTAAAATATTCTTCTACGCGAAAAGTTCAAGAATTTTATTGAAAAAAACAACAAAAGTGTTAGAATTTCAAAATTAATACTCATAAGATTTTGGTGACAAATTGAATATTTTGCATATCTACTCGCATTTATGTTTTATCTGAAGGAATTAACGCTTTTTAGGACAAATTTAACAAAATTACAGCAAAATCCAATGCTGACATATACGAATTATGCGCATGTAACGGATCTGTATTTTTGTAATATTAATATAAAAGAAATGTATATTAATATAATAGAAGATGTATTAAGATTTTTCGGTTGAACAATGATAAATATTATAGATTCAAATGCTTCAATATTTGTAATGGAACTTTTGTCGCATATCTCGTTCGATGTGTTCAATTGAAAGAAAAGAGTTTTTTTAAAACGAGGGAAAATGATAGATGAGTGAAGGGCAAAATTATTAAATAGGGATGATATCGCGCATGAGACGCTACGTACCGTTATGTACCATTTGTGTATTATAAACTGATCGTACAGTCTTCCGCTGAAGAAAATACGAGCGGGTATCGCGGTTGTTCTCCATTAACGCATTATCGCCGGTTAACACGCGTTAATTGTCCTCTAATCTAACATATCCCGTTTGCACGTGAACTTTTCAAGGTCAGGGTCTTTCCCTGATCGCCAGCATTCGATCGCGATTCAGTTGATGCACGCCGTCACGACGTTTAAGTCACACAGGCGACTACAGTGTAGTACGGGTATGTTGCCGTGATTTGATACACGCGTGTGTCGGATGTCAGTGTCAAATGAGAACGAACGCGAGAAGGTTGACTGAAGAAAGGTCACAATAGAGACGCGGATCGGGGACGTCTCGACGGCGAATTGTGATACTCTAAACGCGCACGTACACGATAAACCGGGGGGGAAAGTGTGGCTTATTGTTAGAGATAGCCTCGCGCGATACTCTTCCTCGAGAGAACGCGGGACGCGTTTCGCGGTTTTAGAAGGCCAACTGCTACCATCGCGTGGCTCGAAAGCTCTGCACCCGTCGCGCTTGCGCGTCGCATCGAGCCGCGTCAAGCCGCATCATCCCCGCGCGCACACACATACGCACTTTCGCCCTTATCAACTTTTGCTCGAAGCACCCTGTTTCTTGCACGTGCGTCACGGATATACACAGACATGACGTAGATTTTTCCTTACGTATGACGTCATGGATGCCGATTTTTTTAGCTTTTAATAATTTTATAATTATTTGAATGCTATTTTCTCCAATCTGTTTCAATAGACCATGTACAATTATAATTTATATCCTTTGACGTATCCTACAATTTGGATATTTTTGTACATGCACACGCTCGCATGATATAATTTCATCGGAAAGAATATTGTGTCGCCCTTGACTTTGTATCCATATTTAAACAACTACAATATCTTTTTCACTCTTTAGTTAATTACATTTGTTGTGCGCCACATTTTTTACACTTTCGATCGTTAACAATGTTAATAAAATTTAACATGTTATTAATTTTATATGATAATAAAGTCTAATAGAGTAGAATGCATATAATAAAGGATATTTGTACATTGTTGCGACAGGGTTTTAGCCTATTTATTTAGTATATGAAGCCCAATTATATTGACATTCGATTGAAAAACATAAAGAATATATAACGTGTAAAATCTATACAGTCATGGACACATCGGTTGCGACCTTTTTTACAGGTTTCAAAACGCACTAATATTTTGCAAATGCGGACCACTATACTGTCTCTAGACTAAAAATAAGTACATCGTGGTTCGCATTTGCAAAATATTAGTTATCTATAAATTATATATTAAGTATATTAAATATATATTATAGAAACCTATAAAACAAAGTGTCGCAACCGATGTGTCCACGACTGTACACAAAATACAGCAACATCAAATTTTGCATATTTTACATAATAATTAAAATAAAATTGATAAAGCTTTATGAATTTGCAGTGACAGTTTTGTCACAACAAATTGATTTTACAAAAACTTAAGTAGTTTTATTATTCAAAGATTTTAGATTACGCGCAATGTATGTTGAACAGAAATGTAAGCAGAAAGTATCTAAATCTCTCTTTTGGATTAAATTTTACGACATAAGTATTTTTCTCAAAGTTATTTTTTACTTTCGGCACAACATCCTCCCACAGTATCTTTCTCCTGCGTGGTACTATCCGCATCTGCCGAATCTCTCTCGCTCTTTTCATTTTTCGTTTGTTTACAACAACCAGACATACAGCATCCGCCAGCTGCTTCTCTCGCTCTAATAAGAAATAATAGTAATAACATTTTAAATATAAATTTGAATGATCAAAAAAACTTAAGAATAACAATAATCACGATAGAAAATGCAAGACAAAAATGTTTTGAATTTGCAGAAGAATTTATAACGATAAATTATGTGATAAAATATAGAATAAATATTATGTGATAAAATTTGTAAATTCGTTTAAAGTAGCCCATATGGCCGCCTTTTTAACCTTGCCGTCAAGTAGGACCATTGCGTTGGTAGATTACTTTCCTGCTGGGCAGCAGCTCTTTTGGTCCGTGGTGACATCGCTACAACATCCGCCATGCTCTTCCTTCGTGCCCGAGCAACATTTGGCACCACAACATCCTCCATGTACCTTTTTATCTCTATATATTCAGTCGAGTTATAATCACTGAATTATCAAAATCTCTGAGAATGTTGCAATTTTTGTGCAATCATTATTATGGAGCCAGGCGGCCATATAGGCCGTATAGGCCATGTAAATTTAAATAACTTTCCTTATTTTAAACTAATAATCACAATTTTTACTTTTTACTACAACATCCAGCGAAGTCCTTTTCCTTATTGTTACTGGTCTTTTTCTCGCCACTGCTCAAACAATGATACATTACATATATATATATATACATACATATAAATTATCCATATAAACGCATAATTAATAAATATTATGAAAACTTACTCGCATCGACAAGTTACTTGCCCAGCATATCCTTTTTGACTCGTAATTTTGCTATAAAAGAGAACATCAAACTTTTTACATGTGTACGTGTATGCGTATACATATATAATATATAGCAGCGTTTTATATATATACGTATGTACACATAATACTACATTAAAAAGCAAAAAGTTTATAATAGTATAGAGATTTTAAAATTAAATTATATGACGTATAAAAATCACTTACGCACAATGATCACACATGATGAATTTTTATGATCTTATGAAATGCGAATACTTTAATATTTTACCCTGAAAAATTTCTGAGATATTGACAAGATGTGTAGTGCTGAAAATTTATCTGTATTCTGTGACATAAAATGTAAACAAATATTATGCGTTACCATGGTCTCATTCATCTTTTTCTCTATCGGCATCTTTTTTTTTAATTTTTCACAAACATAAAATGTATTTATAGAATTAATTTTATTATGTTATCTTATGTAATTGATATATATTAATATGTTTATTATAGGTTCAATTTTTAAAAGTTAAAGTAAAACTTGATAATAGTGATAAGCAAAGTACGGGTAAGCTTAGAGGTGTTAAATAATTTTTACACATTTTCTTTTAGAAGAATTATCTTCGTATATGTATATATTCTTCAAATAATGTAATTTAATGTAATGAAACAATCTACATATACGGCTACTTCATGCTGCTATTTTTGTATCTTCCATAATGCAATGCTTTACACATGTATATCAAAGCAATTTTTAAATAAGTGGTACGCTTTTTAAGATCTGCAAATAGAATTATTGCGCAAGTCTCTTATAAGAGTACCTTATGATAATAATAAATTAATGTTACAATACGTACTTCAGGTTGTGCTTTAACATAACATGTAGCTATTTGAAAAGCTTTATCGCAAACATTCTCCGCTTCTAAAAATTAATTTTTTTCTGTTAATTTATCAATATCAACTTTTAGTTTTCAAATTTATTAGTATCAATTTTTGGTTTTCAAATTTTTGAAATGTATTTACATTTACTACATCTTATACAAAAAGAAAAGGAAATACAAAATGTACATTTTAACAGTTGTAATAATTATAAATTGATCTTGTTAAAGGAGAAAGTAGCTAAATATACAGAGGAAACTTACGAATTGATTTACATCGATTAAGAATTTTTCTCGATGACTCTTGCATATTGCGCGGGAGATGACGCAGAGCTTTTTCAACATCTACATTGCTATTCTCATCAACAATACCACTTTTTACCATAAAGCATTTCAAATAACATTTTAATTTCATATCATTTTGTTCAATGTTACCAGCCTTTAGTTGTTTTAAGGATGCTGGATCAAAGAAGCCAATTAAGAAAAATAAATGCATCTTTCTCAATGTGCAAGCAATATAAAATATTCATACCCCAAGAAACATTTGTTTGTTGACGACACTCTCGTTTAATGTCCGCTTGTGCTCCGACATACACACAAAATGGGAAACAAGATTTATAAATATATTAAATATATTTAAGAATTGAACATATTGAAATTGTAAAAGTTTTATCGCGCACAAAAATTAAGGAATAATATGTGTGTGCGTCTTAATTTTTGTGTGCGATAATAAAAATTTCTATAATTATATACATATATACTATTAATTATGTACACACACACACACACACACACACACACACATGTATGTATATATGTAGATATAAAACTTATTTTTTGTTATACCCAAAAATGTAATTGTATTTAATTGTTTTTAATTTACTATGTTTACGATACCGTGTTTAATTTACACATTAAAATATGCACACAAAGCATTTATTTTTGCAACATTAGAGAAAATTTTTAATACAAAATAATGTAAGATTATATAAAATATATAAAATGTTACTTACTAGCATAAGCGATAAAGTAACGAATAATATATTTGTAATCTTCATGTTCCTCGATGTTTCTTGCTACAAGCTTTTGAAAGAAACTAGTCAGACAGCACTATAGTTAATGAGAGTATAATCGTAGAACCTAATCAACGTGAATATTTTGTTGATGTTATTCAATCTTGATAACAGCACATAATTCTCATACAATCGTATTATAAATGTCAAATATGAAATTTTGAATAAATACATAAATGTCACATCAATCAGTCCAGTGTTGTATACAGTGTAATACATAAATTTATATCAACGATTTTGTAGGACAAACTATAAAACATTTTGAGAGACTTTAATGTTTCAATCATTTAGATAAGATATTTTTTCATTTAATATGTATAATATTCTAAAATGAATGTTAAAAAATTAATTTTATCCATGTCATATGTACATTATCTACATTTTATATTTAAAAATATACATAAAGTACATTTGTAGTGAGAATAACCACTTAGATAAAATTAATTTTTATTTTGTTCTAAATTATAAATTATATCTCAATATGTCACATATTAATAAAATTATTTTTATTAGTATAACATACACATTACATAAATTATTTATTATTATACGGTTAATAATATATTATTAATATTTATTATTACGATTAATAATATTAATTTAATATCGTTTCATATTATTTATTATACGTAATATACTATTTTTATGTATTCCTATCGTTGCTAATTAATAATATGTAATGAAATTTGCTAACATAAATCTGAGCTGAAGCGGCTGATCTAATCATTATTGTTACGACGCTATGATCAATGTTACCAAATTATCTTTACACTCGCTTAATAAACACAATAATTTATTGACAATTGCATTTTATTAATAAAATATGTGTATTTTGTCTATCAAGTATTCAGTATTACGAATAAATATTTAATTTAAAAAATTAATAGTATAAGTTATGTCGGCAAATATACTTTTCACATAATCATCAATTGATAAATTATCATCAATCGTTAAACGTCATTATTTTTATTATAGCATTCAAAATTTGAATTCGTCGCGATTGCATTTTAAAAAGGATATATGTGAAGCGTCGCGCACCGTTATCTGCTCGCTCGAGCGTCGCTACAGTTGAATAATAGTAGTGATAATAGACCGACCGCGCGTGCCACCCTCCACCTCTCATCCCTACGCGACAGCGTGGGCTAATCGGCGCGCGCCGGTCGAAATGTTTAATGGATCTTTAAACATCTCTGAATAATCTCTATTTGTTATCTATTCATATTTTTCGAGCGGACTATTATCGCACGTTTTCTATTTTATTTTGTAACTCATTACAACTCATCTAACTATAAAATTAGATGATTTGTAATGAGTTACGAAATAATCCCCCTCGAACTAAATTCTATTGAATTACGAAAAGTTTAATAAAAAATGTTTTAAATGTCTTCAATTGTTAACGACATTCATTCTAATTCAATATTTCTTCAAATATTGAAATAGAAAATTTAATCAATTATAATTTAATAAGACGATTAATGATATACTCATTATGTTTTTAATCGCATTTCCTGAAAATCTCGTTAATATATAAACTGACAAAAAGTTTAAAAAGATAATATCTTTATCTTATATTTATATTATAGTGATAATATCTTTATCAAATTTTAAAGCAATCTCTCCTTTATGAAAATTGATCTAGGTAAATTAATGTATGTGACTTTTTAAGAAACCAAATGTACAAGTAAATGATCAAACTGATAAATAATTCGGCGATAACAATAAGCTTTTTTAAAGATTTTTTTCTTTGCTTTATTTTATTCATTCAATATATTTTTAAAGTTACAGAATTTTTATGATTAATAATTATTCTATATAATTGGTATTACATTTCAAATTTTAATAATCCCTCCCTGTCCCTACCTACCTATCTGTATTTTGAAGCCAGTTCTCTTCAGCTGAACTTCTTGCACAATTTATCTTTATTTTTTCTCTCCACGTTAAAAAAAAAAGAAAAACCATGAACAGTGCAAGAAATTCAGCTAAAAAGAACAAACATCTTTTCTTATCTTTTTTCCTTGTCCGTATTATTATAACCTATAATCTAACCATATTCCTTATACTTATCCTATCCGCGTCATATTTCTACTTATCCGATGATTAACTAGCCGCGATCGCGAAATTAGAGAGATATGATATTTTTAAAGGGAAGTTTAATAAATAAAAATCTTTCTTCTAATTTATATTTTCTTGAACTATCTATAATTGAAAAATGGATTACTTTCGTTAAAATTATAATATATATAAGTATCAATGACCGCATGTTGGTCCGCCGGCGCCGGATCTCTTTGAGATGCCTCTTCCAGACCTCCTCCTCCTCGCAGACTGCTCGGGTTGACAGCTTCATTCCCTCGTCTTCACAGGACTCCTCCAACGTGACACTTGCGCCGCGGATAACTACATTCGCCCGATATCTTATACGTCACTCCCGAAAAGATAACGTACGTGCGGAATAACCGTGCTACTTATATATATACTTATAATAATTCCGAAATACACTTTTCAACAAAATTAAAGCATCACTTACTCTATCCTTCAAAAATAGATGAAATTCAAGAAGTGTAATTACGAGATAGAGGTGTGCGAACACCTTCAAATTCGAATCGAATCGAATCGAATCGAATCGTTCATCGAATCAGTGGATTCGATTCGAGTTCGTTTTCGAATCTGTAAGATAGTTTGAGAATTTCGAATCAACAGTGGTTCGATTTCGAATCGATTCACCTATTTATTTGCTTTATTTATATCTCCCCCGCGGCCAATTATTCTTATCTAATAAATAAATAAGTAATTTTGATGTATGTAATGTATTCATATGGATAAATAACATATTCGAAAGTATTCTAACTATTCATGTATACACATATTATTAATTATATTTTCTAGTTCAAAATGTCACATAAGATCATGATCCTTTGTTAATGAGATGTTAAATCGAAAATAAGTCTTTAGTTTAAATCATTGCGTAAAATAATGTAAATCATAAATTTTGATATTTATTACGTTTAAATTAACATGTAATATAGATCTGGGAAAATTTGATTCAAATTCGATTCATATTCGAATTAAAGAAATTCGATTCGATTCGATTTCGAACATGTTATCAAGAATTCGATTTGATTCGATTCGACCATGCAAATGTTTGATTCGCACACCTCTATTACGAGATGGCATGCGTTAATAACTGCAAAGTTTTTCGTCCTTAATAAAAGTCTTAATCCGCAATTTTTTACACACGTACTCCCGATGTTAAGATGTGAAAAAGATTATCCGCGAAAGATTTACAAGCGAATCGCGCGACACGCCCGAAAATGCGGCGCAACGAACCATTTACGTAATCGGCGGCGATGGATATGTTTGACTTCTCCGTCTTTGGATTAAAATTTTCAGAGTACTGAGGATTTAAATCCTCAGGGTACTGAGCCCTCCAACCGCGACAAGGTCGTGCCCGTTTGGAGGGGTGAGTTATCGCCAATAAATGCCGCACGATAATTTTATATGCTTCAAAAATGAGCACCGTGTCTCGTATATCTGCATGTCAGTCGATTATACGAAATATTTAACATTATCCTATGTTAAAATTGGCGTTACCGGCGATTGAAGCCTCTTTTCCCCAATGTTTAAAAATTCATATCTTCCAGAAAAGTAAAGATATAGACTTCTTTCTGGGCTCATCTTAAAGATGAATTATGTGACTATTTTTTAAGAAATCGTGATTTTATTTAAAAATGGCCGATTCAAAATGGCCGATTAAAACGTCATTTTGTTAAAAATTATTAAAATTTGTTTAATTAAAATGTAATTTGGTATAAATGTTATTGGACGATATATGGAGTTTAATACCGCGCGCAAAAGCATTTTTTTTGAAAATTTATTTTTTATCAAAAATTGTTAACATTTGTTTAATTAAACTGTAAATTGGTATAAATGTTATTGGAAGATGTACGGGATTCAATACGCAGCGCGCGCGAAGCGCGCGCCTGTTATGTACTGGTAAAATAAATTTCAAATATTTTTTTCAACGTGTCATGAATTAATTAGGACATTTCACTAAATGATTTGCGCCGCGCACTGCTACTTGTTATTTTAAAATATAAATTATAAGAAATATTTTATTTTATAGTTTAAAATATATTTTTTATTTAGTATAATCCAGTATATTTACGAATATATAGAGCACGCAAATTTTAAAAGATTAATAATCCCACAAATCCAGAAATATCCGTAATTTGAGAGAGGACAATTAATTTTCGAATGCGTAATTTTTCGAGAATAAAGCTCCAGCAGTCTCGAAAGGTGGATGTAGCACGGACACGCACCACAAATTATATACCCGCGGTGCAGAAAAGTAAATGTTGTTATGCAGTTTACATCCACTTCTTCAGGGAGCGTTAGTGCACGAGGGCATTTTGAGGTAACAGGCAAAAAGCCGTCATGTCCTCTCTCAGGTTTCTCTCTGGTACTAGAGGCCACTATATAATGTATTCATTTTGAAGATAATAAAAAAGACAACTTAACTAATATCTTCATTGGATTTATTTATTTATCCATGTTTAATTAGCATTAAAAGTAACTTACTTTTAGAATTGAATTATTTTATAACTAGACTATGCATCTTAATTTATAATAAAGTTTGATTTGCAATTTAATAAGAGAATTCGTCAATGATGAAAAAATTCGATTCCTTTATTAATTCTTTAAGTTTTTCATTAGGTAATATTAAAATGCAAATCCTTTTTACATAAACATGATAAATAAAAATTGATTTAAATATTTAAAAGTTTTATCTATATTTATTTTAAAGGTAATTTATTTTTCTGCATCTGAAATTACTGAATCTATATATTGTTTTTACAAAAGTACATTTTCTTAATTATTTGTATAAAATCTGTTATTAATATTGCAAATTAAGGATATTTTATGTATAATTGACTTATATATAGTTAGTTAATAAATATAATTTATTTAATATGTTCGATGAGTAAAATATTAAGTAAAACGTTACATTGTATGATTAACAAGTAGCCCATTTTTCTTAGAATGCGAAAGTTGCCGCGATTAAATAATGAATGAAGGAATATATATATAACTTGAGCTGGTGTAAGTTTATGCACATAGATAGATTTCAAATATCCGTATATTTATGTATGACATATATTGGCCGGCGAGCATTATGATTTAATATCATAATCTAATATTGGTAACACTTGGTATTTTGTCATTTATTTCTACACAATTAATAAGTTTGCGTTCAGCATGACGTGTAAACGTAGAAGATTACAAAAAGAACGCGTCGATACATTTATTAATTCGTGCAGGATTATTTTTTTCACAAGCGCTTTTCTAATATATAGTTATGTGCGCTAGCAAACGAGTGTATGTGTATGATATGTATATATATATATATGTATATACTAAAAAATTAATATGATGTGTTGTTATCGTTAGAGATTATCTAGATTTTCCAGAAATGTCCCAGAAATCCCAATTATCGCTAACGAACTCCATTAAGGATCATCGCAATATCAATTATCCTGTGCTTTATGTCACATTTTTGCCCTAAGTGATACGCGCATCGATACAAAGTACACGCGGGGCACACGCATTCTTTCTTGCTCCTTCTCACAGACACGTCGTACAGGAACCGCGTCGGCATCGTTCATCGAGTCACAGACTCACGCGGCGAATGTAGCGAGAACGAGGAGAGATATCCTCTGCTCCGCGTGAGGAACCTATATAACTGTACCGGCTGTCTGGGTCAGGGGGCGGGCCGCTACGTTTGTAGTATACTCCGTATATCGGACAGGTGTACCCTATTCCGACTCTTCGAGTTCTCCCGTGCACCTCCAAGATCGGCGGCGACTGCACGCTGTCCCGCGCGCGTGTCTCTTTCTCTAGCTGTCGCAACGCGGCCGAGCATCGTGGAGTATCGCGTCATCACGAGGTGATCAGTCGTGATCGTTCGCGGAAGCACGGAGCTTCCGAAGGCTCTTATAGAGCCAGTTCGAGAAAATACCGAAATTCGCATTTTGCTAGCGATACCGTTTATCAGTCTCACCTTCGCGCTATTCGCGCTTTTACGAATCACTGGAGCGTGCGGAATCGAACGATTGTGTCCCGGACTTGAGCTGTCCAACAGCGATTTAACGATCGATGTAGCGACTCGAACGATTCATTCAGTTCTTCGTTCGTCTGACATCCGAAGGAGAATCGAGCATATTGTCGATTGCCGATTGCAACCACTTCCCTCCGGATTTGCTTGGACTGTGTCGGCTCAGAGAAGTAAGATTATATCGATAACGTCGCTAATATCAAGTTAAGATTGCACATTTAGTTACTGTATCTATACTATTCTTATTGCCATTTTTTTAAGCTCGACTATTCGATTCGATGCTTTGTTGCTTTGAATTGTTTACAATATTTAAAAGAACAGTGAAATATTATTTGTCATTAATAATAAATTCGATACTATTATTAATATATTAGATTAATATTAACACTATAAATTTTTTTTACGGTGAGAAGCATGGCTAAAATGTCATCTCTGTAATAACACGTTGTTTCGAATATGCGTTTATTTCGCTGGCTCCCGATAGCCGATCCTGATTATAATGTGCGAAATACACCGCAAATTTAATTCCCAAATAATCTACGGCTCTCTGCGCTTCGCGTAAGCACGGTGAAAACGTCGTTATAGATAATTCGCGGCTATTAAACGTGCTTCTTGAGTTTGGCGGACGTATGTACGGCGGTTAACGACCAGCTACGTTGCACAGAACGTAATCCAATTAGCGCTACGTCACTGATTAAGTTATTAGAGGCAAGTCGCACGTCATCGTTTCGCGCCTCGTTAATGCGTTAATAACGGCCGGGCTGCAGGCTCATTGAGAGAAATTATACGTCGCGCTGTAGGAGATACGGCACGATATAGTCAACCACGTGGTGTGTGAACGGCCGTTTCCACTCTAGCGAATATGCGTTATGACTGAATAATAATATTGTTCAACGGACTAGTTTTATAATATCGGTGAAAATTCTTTTAGAATCGTGATTTTTTTAAAATAAAATTGAAGTTATTAAAATTTTATTGCTATAATCGAATAAATATAAATATGTAAAGTGGAAATGATATTAATGTGGCACGTGTGCATAAAACACGGGTGGAGAAACATTGCTGCACAATTGGCTGCTACTTTGTCAATTAAAATTGCATGGTAATTAAAAAGCGTCTAATTTCGTATACCATTATTCAAACGGCGTAGCCAAACGAGGTAGAGCATACTAAAAGAACTAAAAGAAGTGGACTGTGAATTTTTTATGATACATATATGTATGTACATGCACACAATCATGCATGCATGTGCGTGCATTTATCGAATAAGAAAGGTAGATCGAGTAGTTGTCGGAATTTCTACGGAAAGGGGTTTAAAGTAAATGTTATTATCTAAGTTTTTTTCTTTTTAAGAAAAAGCACATCACACTTTGCAGTGTTGTGTTATTTTTATTTAAACATTTGTACAAAAAATCGTATTTATAAATCAAATTATATTTTTACGTTCAGATTTATATTTAGCATAAATTTTTATTTATCGATTTATTAAAAATTTACATACGATTTCTTTTATCACTTCTTTCTAGACGCGTGTCCTCTTTGCTTGCATATAAATGTATTGTAGAGAGAAGCGATTGAATTGGATTACTTTGTTACACTAATTTCTATACCGTGTTTTGCAAATTAAGATTAGTAATATATAATTAATATAATAGATCACATGTATACCACTATACTTCATTGTTATTAAATTGATATTATATTTGTAATAGAACTAATAGATGCGTCACGATCGGATATATCCAAGCGTGACGCTCCGTTTTAATTTATTAAGGAGATTGCCGGCAATTTTCAACGCATGATTAACTTACATTGCGAATGTATCGTTATTTCTGAGAGATTGCTGTCTGATTGATATGCAGAATGCTGTTGAGGTTTGTGTCGAATCTTTAGAGCGAGATAATTAGCGAGATGAGATTTAAAAAAGAAAATATTAATGGGAACAAATATTAGGTAAACGATGTTTATAAATCTATTAAAGTTTGAAACAAGGAACACACGTAAAGTCATCGATGTATCAGTCTGTTTAATTTCTTTTCGAATGTTAGCGGATATTATTTACGACGCGATGTCTTTCTGGATGTCCGTTACATAGGAGAGAAGATAATGAGAAAGGGGGACAAGGAAACAGAAAAGTCTCTATGTTTCTTCTATATAGGTCGCTATTAGGTTGCTGATTATGCGAATGCCCGACTTCGGAATTACAACATCGACGAAACCGTTATATGTATTTGGCACCATGCCACATCTTCGGCATGCCCAATTCATAGTTAACGCGAAACGGCAGGAAAGGAGTGTAAACAGCTGGCAGTGATTTTTATTCGAATACAAGCTACTCGTAAGAGGAAGAACAGGTGTCGTGGTTTATCGTGACACGAATTGCAAAAGCAGAATAACAGATAATATATGATATGATCTAATGACTTTGCGATTTTCGCGGCTGTCCCTCCAGACTGCTTCCGATAGTGAGCTCCATGTGTTAAGGCAATTATTGTACATTTGTGACACAGTTGCTTCTTGGTTATAATTATAACATTAAATATGTTTTATTTTAGAAAAAATAAAGATTATTGAAGAAATTCCGTCACAGATCATCATGGCTGGCCATTCGATTTTAAATGTTACGATCATGTATATATGTACAAAGTGCTGGATTCGCAAACTGGACGAATAGCCGGCGGCCGCACCCGGCTAACCGGTTGGTCCTTTTGACTTGGACTCCACGTGTGCGCGCGTGCGGTCGAGCGTTGATCGGTGGGAGCCTACTTGCCTACATTCATAAAACGTCAAGCATACCACTTGGACACCGACTGCACATTACTGCACCGTCACTTTGCATATCGTCTCCGGCTTTTCTCTTTCATGCGCGCGCGAAAGCGGTCATGCCATTTGTCATTATAGCATTAAAATCGGAACGTTTTAAACTTCATAGACTTTTAATTTAAAGATCAAGACGATCGAAATAGACTAAACGTTAAAATTAGAAAATTTAGATAGATAATCAACGCAAGAAGAGAAATAGCTTCTTTATATTCTGTATGGGCGCTATTATATTTATTAAATTTAAATACTTTATATAAGATTTAAGAATGTAGATAAGACAAACTAAAGTTTGCATCAATACATATGTCATCATTTGTACACGTCAGACATAACACATGTGTGTATTATGTATGCCGTGAAGAAGAATGCTTGAATGCGGAGGTGATTTCTGCCGTGTTCCTCGTAAGAGAGTATATTAAAACGCAAGACATTCAAGCTGGCACGACCATTAGACAAATTAGTACCTACTCGCGACATAAATTTATCTACCCGTCATTTACATGACTGTTTTCCCTGTTGTGTCTCAATTTACGTCTGATAAAAGCCCCGGCAAGTATTTCATTACATCTAAATAAAACCCGCTTTAGGATTTTAATTATTTTCCTTTTCCGTTTACATACTTACTGTTTCGTAATTAGATGCTTTTTGTTCTCTGGAGGAAAGTTGCATCGAAATCTCCGATTCTCGTTTTATGCAGAGAAGCGTTAATGGAATAAGTCAGAGGCATACTATATATCCCCATCTCTTTTCTCTTCTCTTGTATATTATAAAGGATGTATGCGACAAAATCATATTCTGGCAATCCGTTATCTCTCACGTAGGTATCGTAGTTTAAATTCAAAAGGTGTAAGTCATTAAATAGCTGTACTGAATAATGTATTTAGCAGCTTGTGCAAACAAAGTTGTCCCATTTCCAGCTATAAACGGCTACACGTGAAATTTGTATGTTGTCTTCTGTATATTGTTGGCTTGTGCGCCTTCGCAAATTTAGCGATTTCGACTTGCATCGATAGATGCGATCGCGGTTTCACGCTTATAACGAAGTAACGGAGCGAAAACCCGGAAATTCGAGAGGAATTTGGGACAGGTGGCTTAGTGGTTGCGCGAGGCGAATATGTTACTTGATAATTGGTGATCAAACACGAGCGAAACGAGCGAAATGCGGGTTCAACAACAAGCTATTCTGTAGCGATGTATCCTTTATCTCGAAGCGGCGGAAATGAGCAGTAATTAACAGTAAACACGTCTAATATGATTGTTGTAAATCGCTAGCTCCGATGACTCTTTTTTTCTGTATGTTCCGATATCTTTTTTCTTATAATTATAATTTTCGTAAAAACTGTAATTACAGGTCACAGCTGTATCAAGCAGTCAGTGATTACGCCGACAGAAAGAAGACTGCCCGTAATATTACGATAGTTGTGAGATACAGTCTCAATCGATTTCCACGATCGTACGATTATATCCCAGGTATAAGGTTATTATGCATTTTGACTCTCACTCATTTCTCGTTTTGAACACTATTTTTGTAAAAATAATTTCAGAAATTAATTTCACTTTTAGTTTTATAAAAAATTTTTTGACGCAATGTCGAATGATATGCCACAATGTATATTTATTATTAATGACATGTATATTTAATGATATGCCACAGTGTATATTTAATTTATGTTTAAATGTTAAATGTGGTCGATATTTTTTTTCAGTGATACCACTAGTGTTTCACCGTGGACACCAACGCGGTATGCAGTTTCGCATTTATATCCTAGCCTGTCTCCTATTAAAGGGGGTGAGTGAACAGATGTTTTATGTTCGTCACAAATTTTCTTAAATAAATGTTGATTAAAGAGACCGTTGCGAAATACAACAAGAATATGTTATGCGTGGAGAGTTATATATCGGCGAAATTGCCGATGCATATACATATGTTGTTCGATCGTTGTAACGGCGCGGCGCGACACAGCGCGACGCGGCGCAGCGGCCGCGAGGTCCGGAGCAAAATGTCGATCGGACGTTCCCGGAGACGAAAGAAAGACGATGAATGAGGTTTACGGGTACTATTGGTTGTTGTCTGGTGCGAGACCAGAGGGGAACGCAAAACGTTACGTGCAGACGCGCGATACGAGGGGAACTCTCTCGGTGCGGAGGATAGGTCCGTGGCGTACGAGTCTGCGTAGGTAATTACATTACTACATTATAACCCAGATATCGTAGTGAGTACGCACGTGGCCGGGCAATGCCGTTACCCAGTGCTCTGACCCAGAGCTAAGGGCGACTCGCCCGGCCCGATGTCTCAAAATGGTGCGCCGAGCGGCGTTCTGATCCGGCTCGTCTACTGTCTACCGAGGATCCGAGTAACGTTTCATCGCGCGTTCTTCGGCCGCTCTCTTACAAGGTGGTGCGCAAAAATCCCGCGCGCGGAACGACCGGTTTCTTCGTGTGAGCGCACGCCTCACGGTTTCTTTGCTGTACCCTTTTCATCCTGCATTCCTGTGGCCCGGCATAATTTTCGATGTATGTGTAGGTATCCTCTTCATTTTTCGCTCAACTTTTCGATCGACGATTATCTTATAATTATTATTAACTTTATAAAAGAATACATAACGATAGAGAGGGCCGATGAATGAATCGCGTTACCGTGCCGCGGTGTCGTCGATTTCTGATATCGTCGTCTGTCGCCGATATCTCTATGAATATTATGTGGAATAACCGATTAGCATTTTTAACTCGTCATATTGAAATCTAGTTTGTTCTTTCTGTATACAAGTTTTAAAAAGATACTGCAGGAACTTGATCCAATAGCACGAGAAATTGTTTCGCGTGTTCTTTTCTCTTTCCGTCTGTTATTATATACGTGCTTTATAAATTCTTATAACGATAAACAAGATAAATTTTTGCGGGGACATAATATCCAATTTTTACATACGTTTACACATTTGTTATTTTTATTATTCTCGATAGAAAGGGAGTAAAGTATCAAATTATCAAAGATGAAGCTGCATCAAGTAGAGCGTTGACACGAATACATGTGCTTGATCTGGCCTGGATGTACGCCATTCATGACTGCCAGTTGTCGCAGCTCGTTCGAAAATCGCCATCAAGATTCGTCGCGATGGTGCGAGACCTACTGTGTGCAAGTGTACTCAGTAAGTCTTGGTCGAATTATGGGACACGCACATTGAAAATCCATGACAGAACGAGTAAACAGTCGAGCAGGAGGGGAAGGGGCGGGAGAGGAGGGGGGGGGAGAGGGTTAGGGGCGAGAAGGAGAGCCGCCGAACATGTGCGCGGAACTGGCCGATTGACCTGCGGCTAAAGACACGGGTGGTCCGTTATGCCCTAAGGTCACGCGTGACGCAATCGACCACTATAACGTACAGTTCTATACACATGACTCAATGCTCCTATTCCGCGGACTCTCTACCTCGCAACCCCCTTATCCCCACCGTCTCGATCGAATCCTCGAACTCCACATTCGTCGAATACTTCGAACAGGTTTGTCGCCGCCGGCGACTCGCCGTGCTGTGTGTTGCCCTCGCACTCTGTCGCGCCACCGGAAATAACTCTTTCGACGATCGCTCCATTTGTCCGATCGGATAATCGAACGATCGAACCCGCACCGCGTTTCTCGCGGCGCAGCGCGATTCTGTTGAGCTTGACACACTTAGGTTTTCCATTGAGCGCGTGAGAAACGAATACCGTTGTACGGCCGATTTTTTTTGTCGATAAATGTATAAAAATTATTATCTGAAACGATGTTTGTACGCGTACAAATCGAAGTGATCAGTGCTAAAAATAAAATTTGCAAATGAAATTTCGGTATATGGTAATATAGTAGCCTCGTAGCTATATATTCTATTGGAATATTACAAATACATGACTATATAGTCTCGTAAGAATTTAACAAATTCCTGTACTGCAATCATTCATAATACAAATTTGATTCAATCGGCTTTAATTTTCTTTAAACTTATTCTTTATAATATCTTTTAAAAATCCAAGATACACACAAGAATCCTATCGACATTCGTTACACGCGCAATTACTGGTGTTCTTACAGCTGGCTCGAGCCGAAGAAGTCGAGGTTGTGGAGGCGATTCCGGGAGAAGATAATCGAAACGAGAATTCGGCACTGAATCACCAGGAAAATGAATTAATTAATTCCGATCAATTAGCATTGGATTCCATAGCGGATAAGGATGCGGGAGGAAACCATTATAAATCGGGTGGCCATCGAGGTCATCCTCTGCTGCCGCCGGCTCGAGGAGCATTAAGCTTGCCGCGTCCGCATCACAACGTCGCCTATCATGGTCCACCACCGCCATTGCCGCCTTCTAAAGCACAATCGGAAGCTATGGATAAGATCTATACCACTGGCGGTGGCGCGGCCAGCACCGCGATAGGCGTCGAACCTTGGCCAGCACCGACGCCTGACATGCCAAAGATCGTGTCGCTAGACGTGAAATGCGAAAAGAATCTAATGAAGGTTTACCTGGGTTTCGACAAGCCATTCTACGGCATAGTCTTCAGTAAAGGCCACTACAGCAACATTAATTGCGTACACCTGCCTGCGGGACTTGGTCGCACGTCCGTCAATTTCGATATCAGCATACACGCGTGCGGGACGGCCGGCAATACGGAGAATGGATTGTACGGCTACGGCGCCGATTCTGGATCCGGGACGTTCTTTGAAAACATCATAGTGGTGCAATATGATCCTCAAGTGCAAGAAGTCTGGGATCAAGCGCGCAAGCTGCGCTGCACTTGGCACGATCTGTATGAGAAATCGGTCACTTTTCGTCCGTTTCCCGTGGACATGCTGGACGTGGTCCGCGCGGATTTCGCCGGTGATAACGTCGGATGCTGGATGCAGATACAGGTTGGTAAGGGACCATGGGCGTCTGAGGTTTCGGGTCTGGTCAAGATCGGTCAGACTATGACGATGGTGCTCGCGATCAAGGATGACGACTCCAAGTTCGACATGCTCGTGAGAAATTGTATGGCCCACGACGGCAAACGCGCGCCAATACAACTGGTGGACCAACGGGGCTGCATTACACGGCCGAAATTGATGTCTAGATTCACAAAAATTAAGAATTTCGGCGCATCGGCGTCGGTGTTGTCGTACGCTCATTTCCAGGCGTTCAAATTTCCAGACTCCATGGAGGTTCACTTCCAGTGTACCATACAGATATGCCGATACCAATGTCCGGAGCAGTGTTCGGAATCGTCGTCACTTTTAGAGAGTCAAGGTCTTCTGGAGAATCACCATCTTCATTCCCCGACGAATGGGCATCCTGACGTCGGCTATGGTCTTCCGCCTCCGATCCCGCTGCCATTGGAGGCCTATTTACAAGCTGCGGCTGGACGACCCCGAGACGAAAGGAGAAGGAAATCCCGAGAGATCGTGCACAACCCGCAAAAGGCTGTAGGTGTGAATCGAATTATCCGAGTTGTCTCAACCGGTGACCTGACCTTTTCTATCGACGAGAGCAACAACGGCGAGTTGAATGGACCAACGATGATATTTCCGCAACGTAATGAAAACACGGGCAGCTCGACCATGATCTGCATGACCACTCCTGGATTTGCGATTACTCTTATCGTACTACTTGCCGTTCTACTTTTCTCATGTGCGTTGTCCGCTTATCTCTTTATGCGTCTCAGGCCCTTCTCGGCAAGGACCAAGAAATCCACGGTGTTTTCTAATATTGAACAGAATGGCGCGGCGAAAAAATCTTCGCGAATGTGCTTCTATTCATAGAAATATCTGTCATGAATCATCCCGAGTTTCGGTGATTCCGATATCTCGATGCTGGAAGAGAGACCGTCCAATTTCATGGTCTCCTCTTCTTCGAAACCGGTTTACGTGGTTTTCTGCGATATGCCCACGTTGAAACGTCGTTGGAGGTCAGTACTTCCGTAGAACGAATGCGATCGCGTGCAGAGAAAAAGAAATTAATTTTGGCGAATATACTTTGCCAAGACAAAAAAATTAACGGCAAACGAGTGGAAATCGCGCCTGTACTATTTCAAATACCTTTGGCCATTAAATGACAGTATTTTTTTGTATGTATATTTATATATGTATATCCAGAATTTTGAGCGGGTCGTGTACGTATATAGCGGAATATTTTTTACAAGGAGACCAGAAGGGGAATTTTATGTAAACTGGTCTTCGAAATTGCGAATCTTCAGGTTTCGTAGAGGCTATCGAGTGTCGTAAGCACGACTCTGTGTAAAACTACGTTTTCCCAACGTGGTAACGCCAGTAGCATTATTTTACAATAAAATGCAGTACTCGTGTCATTTCGTTCACTGCATATTATTACGGTGAGTTCAGAGTTGTGCTTCGTCATAATGAAACTTAAGCTCAGGCCTTTATAGGCAACAACATAGGCAATACCGCCGAAAATTTAGTCAAAGATAATCAAACCTGTTTCTGCGTTTATTATTTATCAATCTACGTACTTGTATTTAGTCTCTTCCTCTATTTTTCCTTCTTTTGGTATTTGGGATTCTCAACAATAACGATGCTCAACATGCGACTAGAATGCGACTAGATGATAATAAAGCGGAAATTTTGCGGAATTAGTCTACAATATAGCATTTAAGCAATGTTAATAATGTTATTGTTAATAATATTATTATTATTTATATTTATTATCTACCTACCTAAATTTTCTAAAGATAGGTAGAATCCTAATATAGAATTCTATATATGAGGTAAACAAATAAAATAAAATTACAAAATGTAAAAGTATATCATTTTATTGTATTGTAAGAGAAGATATTGACAAACAAATGCATTACACCAAAATGAGAAATTTTCAATTATATACGCGTATATGTAGAAGTATTTAAATGTATTTTAAAGTTTACCTTGATAGCTTTTTTTAAGCAAAAATCTAAAGTGCCAAAATATTATACTGATGTTATGTAAAACAGCAAATAATAAATTACAAAGTCTGGTTATGAGATGAGGTTTGCTTTGTTTCATGTATGCTGAATGAATGTTAAACAAATAGGTATGAATGATAAAGTCAGTTGTGACATTAAGCCTTTATCATTTGTCGCGCTATTGTTGTTATGATCAATGCAGTATTTCTAAGAAAAAAAAATGTGAAAAGTTAAGCAAAAAAAATTAAGCAATTCAATAAGTTAAATATCGGAATCGTGTGTGCAGTCATTAGCTTATATTTGCAGCGTGATTTATCTAGTGTATAAGATATATAGTAATACACAAGATGTCTTAGAACAGCATTGCGCATTTCCGTCGGCCATTTAATTAATCTCTTATAAATCTCTATTTAGTTACTTTATTAATCAATAAAGGCAGTTGATGTAGCTCCGTGTACATAATAAATTATAATTGGGGATTAATCCTATATTTAAGGTATTGCAAATATATTTTTATTACTGTTATTATTTATTTATATTTATATATATTACATAAAAACATAATCTTTTAACTAAATAGTCGTATTATGTCGCCTTACTTTTGCTCGAATGCTTTTCATTCGCTGTCAGGCGAAGCCACGTTTTATCTAGTTCTCAGTGCTGATCGTACACATGCTACGCTTCAATTAAAGTTACTCAATCTAAGCGTATGATAAATTTTTACACGAGTATACATGTACGAATAACTTAAGATCTAATTTTAAATATTATGTATTTGTGTGGCAACTCGTATGTTCTTTGGACGAGTAAGAAAATGAAACTTTATCGTCCATTATTAAAAATCTGTTCAGACAAGTTCGTTTCTCCGAACGGAAAAAAAAGGGATTCACATGTTATAAATACGGTTCAAAATACGTCCATATCGTAAATATCTTTGGATAAGATCTTTGCGTGAGACATTTCGGTATGGACATTTCTAGTGCGTTTACTTACGTATATCAGGTATAAGAAATTCAATTGTAACAAGAATCATATTTATGATAGCAACTTAATATATATGATTTGCAACAGTCTATCTGTACGTGGAATAAAGGAAAAACTGTAAACCCTCCTCCAAGTCTTGCGCACAAACCCACAGGTTGTGGAAGCTTTAGAAGATGAAGAAATGGATATGACGGAAATTGAATATTTATTTTCTTCGTGTCAGCTTTCCCCAAAAAAGACTGTTAACATATTTCATACACATTTGCCATATCCGAGATAAATATTATTTTTAGCCTCCTTAGAGCAAATCATTAACGATCTCTACACATGACGAGAATGTCGTGGAACCGAACACGACTCACAATCAGTATCCTAAAGACTCATAAACAGTATAACGATACCTGTTAACAATCTAAATAAAATTATTATTATTTAGATTATAGACGGCGGCGCTTCGTAACCCTTGGTGTATTTGTCGACAAAATTCTGAATGCATCGAAATCTCGACAAAATAATTCGACGCACCAAAGCAATCATAACTGTGTATCATTTTTACTATTCGTATGACAAAAGATACATTAATCTTAGAAATATACTACTAAAATAATAATTATGAATATTTCCAATATTATTTTTTTCAGGTTTTATTATTAATCAAGACGTTTCTCGCAAAATTCTCGCAAAAAGCACCATTTATAATGTTGCAGGTTTATTTCAACTTTTAAATATTTTTGATAAATGCTTTCGTACAGCATATCTGTTTTGTAACTTCTCATAATCTACATATCATAATCTGTGTTGTCTATATTTTCCATAAAATAAAATATTTTCCAACATAAATTCTTTAACGATAATTATTAAAAATCGCATATACATTTTCATACAATATTCATAACAGAAGAAATATTCATAACAATGTGAAATTTATTAGTGTTTAATTGATTATTGAAAACAAGACGCGCGATATAACAACTGATGAAAAAACATGGTATTACGAAATTGAGATAATATTGACGTTACGCAAGACGTTATAGAGTAGCTTTGCTAAAATCAGAGTAACGCAAATACCTACCAGAGATAGAGTCCTCGACGACTGCGATTCGCGAGAATTCAGTGTCGTCGCGCGATTCGCAGGAGGATACTCGAACAATAGTGCCAAATAATAGTGTTCACAGTTTCCTCTAGCTCTGTTTTCTCTGCTTGCCTTTCTACGAAATGCCTGTCCTCTCGACATACATATATAATCGCACGTAGCTCAGCGATGCACTTACGATACTTTGTACAGCATATTATTGCACATTGTCTCTCCTCAGACGCAGCTAGTCCACGCGTCTTAAGGCCGATACGGGCCATAAGGTGTCGTCAGCCTCGCTCAACCGATGAATCTGCAGCAACCTGTGAAGCTATTGCGTTCGGCTGCTTCTGTTGCTGCAGCTCGTCGGAATGATGAGTGGGTCGCGCCGTGCAGCGCACGCGGAGCAGACCGTAAGGCAGCCAGCCGTTGTTGTTGGCGTGTACTCCGGTTTGATTGTTCTCCCTGCTGCCGGCGCGGGCGGCGACGTCCCGCTGCGCTTGTAGCCGATGCAGCATCGCGCCTGCAACGAGGGCGGAAACGATCGCCGAGAGCGCGACGACGATGAAAAGCGCGCTGAAACCTGGCATTGGCAGACAGATCCCGTAAACGACCTCCTCGCGTATCCTGCCCTGAAAAACTGTCACCGCCTCGGCGTGCGTGTCTGGACTAAAAGCCAGATCCGCCTCGGAGATGACCTCGTAAATACCGCTGACGCCGACGTCGGCGCTACGCGCTTTCCTGTCCGTCACCGTCACCGAGCGTTTTCGACGGGTGACGCCGGCAGAGAGCGGCGTCACTGGTACCGCGCCCACGCCCGCGCCCGCACCCGCGCCGTCCTCCTCCAGATTCCGTGGTCCATGCGGGAATTGGTCCTGCTCGCTCTCATACCTATTCACTCGCGACGGTTCTCTTTCCTGAAAGAGAACAGCGACGTTGTGTTTACGATCGATTTAAAGGGGGATTTACGTGCGATTAAAGGATTTTAATATTTACCATAAATGGTTTTGATAAATCGACATCGTGATCATCCGGCTGGATCATCTTGCTGTCGTCTTGCGTTTGCGTTTCGATCACAGCCGGCGGTAATCGGTTACTCGTCTGTGCCTGCGCTTTCGGAATCGACTTTTCAACGTCTAAGAAATGTCCGCCGATCGACGTCATTTCATCGCCATTCTGAATGACATCGTCGTACAGAGAACCATCTGCCTGCTCCACATTGCCACCCGCGTCTTCGTTGTCTCTGTCCGCGCTGTCTGGTCTATCGTCATTGGAAAGAACAGAAGCTGCCGTACTATCTATATACTGTGGCCGTATGTGATCCTTTCTTTCTTGAATATAATGAGCTATCGAGCCACTCAGTTGACAATGATCCAGACAACCGTGCCGGCATATTTCCACCTTTTATACAAATATTTTCAGATTTGTCAAATGAAATCCGGAAGATAAACGACAGACAGACAGAGATTGAGTAAACAAATAATTGAGTTTGCAGGTCTGGAAATCATGTAATTATTACCTTGCATTTGATATGAACGCTTAACGCATCCGGGAATTTGAACGCGTGGAAGAAGGCGTACGTGATGACGGTCGCGCGATCATCCGAGCCGCGCGCTTTCAAGAACCGGCTGATCATCTTCGGTCTTAGCACGCAGCCAAACTCGTCGCTGAGCTGTATCGTGTGACCGCCGCCGTCTGAAGCCACGCACGACTTGACCCGCATGTCGAACTCACCTGTGCTCGGTTAAATAACAGAAAATTACGTTAGTGCCTGTCCGATCGCTCGGGAAGTTTCGTGTATCTAGAAAACTCGTTACCTCGATAATCGTTTATGGCGACGACCAGAGTAAGAGTAGAGCCGAGCGGCACGATACCGGACACGGGTGGCGCCCATGGACCCTTGCCGTGCTGAATTTCCATCCAGCAGTCCACGTTGTCACCTGTGAGCAGCAATGGATTTATACGTAATTTTTTTTCCAACAGAAAAAAGCGCATTTTTTTGCTTTATTTAGCGATATAGGTATAACATAATTATTCTTCTCTTTGGATAATACCGTGTATATGTATTTCCGCGCGTGCCACGCTCTCGCTTTATATGTATATGTTATATAAACTAAAATTAACCGATGTCACTGCGGTTTCACCTGCGGCTAACCGCAAACGGATGCACGAGTTGCAACGTGTACCTCGTGATATGTTTGCGCGCATTAAATGTACCGCTATCTATCCCTCGTAACGCACGTTCAAAAGCCTGCAAGTATTCATATATGTGCCGCTTTAATAGAAAATGACCATCGTGGAACGATGCACATTTACTTGGATATTTAACCGCAATATTTCAGAAAAACTTAAAAGTCTTAGAGAGCACATGATTCTGCCTGCTGTTTAAGATTGTTTACAGCAACAGATGGCAATCGAAGGAGAATTTCCGCGTGCACGCGGATGTCTCGCGGCCGTTTCGATAATATGAAATAGTCATGAGAGCTCGGAGGCTGTATGCCGATGATTTATCTCCATTAAGAAATGGCGCATTTAATGAGAGCATAATCGTAAGGTGTTTGCACCTCTAAAATCCAACTGTATCACGTCGAGGTCCGCGATAACCATCGGTGGTTTCGACGCGGTTTTCTCATAATCGTTGAACCACTCGCATCGCAGTCGTTTAGCCTCATCCCAAACCTCGAGTAAGTCTTTATCGTACTGAACCACCACGGTATTCTCATAAAATTGCCCATGCATGTCCGGTTTTGTACCGCATCTGGAGTAAAATGAAAAAAAAAAGATATACCTATATATAAAATAAAATGCAATGCAATTTTCGACAATTCTTAATAATATGTATATTACAATAAATTTGTACAAAATTGGTGAAACAGGAATAACTTTACAAAATTTTTTGTAATATTGTCATGTCGTAAGTTCTACGAATAAAATGTGAAAGTAAAAATAAATGAGATTTTGTTGACGATAAAGTTATATTCGTTAATTATCCATGTAAATACAAGTACATATACAACTATAGTATTTCTGCTTCGCTCTCACGCACTTACCTCGCGTAAGCTATCCGGAAGGAAAAGAACGTCTGTCCGGTGGACGGTGGGACATAGATGCAACGTGGGTCCGCGTGTTGGCCTTTGGACGAGACGATACCTTCAAAGGGTTGCGAGAACGAGAGATGGACGTCCATATGATCTTTTCCGCACATCACCTCCAAAGATTGAATGGCCGGCATGCCCTCTGGCCTCTCCAGCGGCCAAATGTCGCTGTTGCTACTGACGCTCCTCAAGCCAACCATCTGCGCATTTAAAGAATATTGTACGCTTCTTCGTTGAACCCGTGTATGACCTTTCTTCTCTCCGCCCGCGCGTCGTCCCTGTCCCCTCTTCCTCTTTCTCTCTTATTCTCTATTTCTACCATTCCTTCGTTTCCTACTCATTGTTCGATATGTATGTTATACGATGCACGTAAATATATAGCGGCTTCGAAGTTACACACATAAACAATAAGAATCGGATGTCAATTCTATTTTCCCCGCGGCATGAGAAAATTACTGTACGGAGTAGAATTCGCAAGAAGATCATTGACAATGATTTAATCGAAAAGTATCTTACGTTAAGATTGTTTGATGTATTTGACAAATTTGATCAAGACATTGTGCATTTATCGTTGCACCATCGTTATAAACAGATGGATAAGGTGTTATGTAAAATACTGTGCTTACTGTGATTAAATATTTTTACATAAATTTATGTAAATATTTTTATTTAATTTTTAATTAATAGATTTAGCTTAATAAATATTCGATGCTTTGCTCTAATCGTCTAATTCACATGCAATATTTGTAATTAAAAGAAATTCTTATAATAAATTGTCAAAAAGTAGATTAATTATCTTGGCAAAGTATTATTATACAAAATAATTTCAAGAGATAAGAGAGAAATTCAGTTTAATTGAAACATTCGTCTCTAATACGTCCATATTGAAAATTATCAGCTATAAATCAAGTCCATTACTCTCAACGAGTTCTTTTTTGCACGTAGTGAATTTAAAGGGTTTCTTATTGTAATGAAAGGATTGTAATGAAAACTTAAGTATCCGCGTATTTTCGCTCCGCCCGTCCATTAGACCCAAGATAATCCATACGATTTAGTCATAAATACCTCTCATGCTCAATCGGAACTGACAATTCTGCGTATATTTCTTGCCTCGCCATTAATGCCGGTATACGAGGTAATCACGAGACACGAGCCAAGCGACAAGAGCGGCACGTCTATCTCAAATTAATCATGACATACATACGGCTTTTATCTTGTGTTTTCACTTACTTCCCGTACTTATTGAACGCAGGCACCTGCAAGTGCCATTATTTTATTCATATATACAGCGAAATTACAAAAGTATCAGCAACAATGCTATTTTGGTTACAGTACTTGATGACTGATTTTCACGACAATATTTAATAAATTGAGCCACTCGAGAGATTACGATAATTAAATTTATTATCACCTTTGTTATTTTATTACTTTAATAACACGATATTATTATCGATTTTTAAATTCAATTAATAACACGATTCTATTGGCTACATATTGCCATATCAGAAACGCTCTGGAAATATATTTTATTTTCACTTTTGAAATAAAGTTACTATATTTAAGAATAAACGATAAAAAAAGAAGCAAAAAGTGACGTAATATATTGGAAAATGGATATTATTTATGCATTTTAACTCTTTTTATAATTTATAAAGATTTTAGAATTATTTATATAGAATTTATATATAAAGGGAGTGCAGCAAAGTGGTGAATTATTAACTGCGTTGAATTGCAATCTTTTATTATCGAGAATTATTACAATAATAAATCTGTGTACCTATTTATAATAATAATCTGCATGAATGTGTATCTTTCGGATTTTGTGCGCTTTGTTGAGATATCTATTTGTAGTTACCATTATAATAAAACTTGAAAAGTAGATCAATGTGTCTGGTCTATTAAATCTGATCTAGATTTTGTTCCTCAATACTTGTGTTACAAGACTGCATTGAGATAGTCTACACAATTTCTTTATTTTTACATGCGAATAAACGAAAACTTAATTATGCAATATTACAGCTTTATCGTCCATTTAAAAATGATATGCTCGATATACCGTGAATCTACTGCTATTACGATAATAAATAATCGTGTACCAGCGTAATTTCTGTTCCAAACGTTTTCTGGAAATTAAGGGATGCTATACACATGCGCTTTTAGCTTGTAGCCTTAGAAAATCCTAGACGCTATGTGAACGAGTGAGCGCGGCATCGCCGTAACGGGAGAAGCGTCTTTACCGCTGCATTAACGGTCGCCGTTTTTCGCGCAAGTGAAAACACGTTTCTACGCTCTTACAATCGCACTGTTAAATGACAACGTTTCATTAGAAATGATTACGCACCTGGCGGACGCAGGTACGCACGGTGCGTACCCTTTTTACCGAGTGCGTTGCGTTGCGTTGCGTTGCGGCGCGCGGCGCGCGGCGCGCAGCATGGCATCTCGCGCGACCATTGACTCAAAACTACCCCCGCGATTATCTCTACTTGCTATCTGCCATGGTATAGAGACTGGCATCTTTATATATATATATATATATATATTTATGATATCGTCTCTATCGTCAATAATTAAATTTACGACTGTTTTTAAAAAGAACGAAATCTTTGTTAGGTCGTTGCTGGCAACTTCTCGCTCTTTTAGACGCGTAAAAAATGACAAATAATATTAAATTTATATATTACACCACGTGGGCACCGCCGCGGCGCGCCGTGGGCAGAGGTAAAAGATGCGGTTTACGACTTCCCGGGACTTGGTTATGACCTCGTGCGCATCGGTATTCCGAGGTATTCGAACGTGAGGCACATTGGTAGGTGAGTTTCCCATCGCGGCACCGCGCACCGGTGGCGTTCGAATACTAATGCCTGTCTGCGGATAGTCAATTGTACTCGTGACAGCGGAAATAGCTGCCTCGGTGGCCGCGTGCTCGCGTGTGCCGACGGCAGCGTCATAAGACGGAGGATCGGGGTCGACGAGAATGGAGAGTCTTATGGCCGATTTTACTGACCTTCCTCAATCCTTTGAGGATTCGTATTACGGTAATGTAAATTGTAATCAGTGGTGGAATCTCCGCGCTAAGCTACTGGCTTATCTTCGATAACTTGGCGATAAAGATCGTGGACCACGGAGCGCTGCAGTTGTATACAATGTGGTTCGCCGGTATTGGCTACTACAACGGTTTCTACTTCGCAAGCTTATACGGATTAACATTCGATTTTACGGCTCTTTCTTAAATTGCAAGATCGCGATAGTATCCCTGATTCTAATCTCACCTCTGCTTCGGTCTACATCATAAGACATTCTAGCAGTCTGATATATATAATTCGACATTTTATATAGGCGAGACGCGCGCGCACCTATTTTGCAAGGCCATGGAGATAGATGTTTCGCCGCACCGCGGTACCGTCTACACGATAGGTGTTTCACGTGGAGTTCTGAATAACGTGAGAAGGAATGAGGGGAATGGGACCGGGTGGAGAGGGGGCTTCAAGACGCGGTAACGGTACCTAGAGTAGGCATGAATATCCGCTTGCAAGCTGTCACGGCGCGGCGCGGCGCGGCAGCTCCCGCCGCGTCATCGCATTGTCATCTAAATGGAAACGCGAATTCCCGCGAACGGTCAGAGTGTCGCCACCGCGAAAACGAAGAGCCTCTTTATTTTCTGCGCGATGCTGCGCGCGGCTCGTGTCTTCGGTCCTTACTAAAACGGTATCCCGGTTATTAGGCGGTCAAATGACTATTACGCGAACGAGTCTCCGGGCTTGGCCCGTGCGTGAGACACCGTTATTCATTAATTATAGGATCTACGGCGTGGCGCGGCGCGGCCAAACACACTTGAAATTACGGAATCAGCGCAATCGGCGCGGCGCGGCCGCGGCGGCTCGCGGTGGTCGACGCGCGGCCGATCAACAGCGCGCAAGGCTCTAGGGCCTAATTGACCGACAAAAGAAAACCGCTAGAAGACACGCGGGACGAAACGCAAGTCACGAGTCTCGTGTGAGTCTCGTATGTAACGTCATGCCGACCCCGCTGCCGCTAGTCGATACACCGCTGTTTGTGCTCCTGTCCCTCTTAGCGCTCTGCTCGTTTGCTGCTCGCTTGCGCGTTATTAAGACAGCGAATCTGATGTTTCATCTTTTGACGTCGATAACTTCGCGCTAATAAACCTTTCTAATATTGAGGACGAACAAGCCGATACTTGAAAAACGTTGCTTCGTAATTATTTAGCGTCGCTTCTATCTATACGAGTATAATGAGCAATGGGAATTAGGTCAAAGGTTGGTATTGCAGATATGTAGATATTTTTTATCAAAGCGTGTTGAACGTTACATTAATCTTTGACGCGTGAAAAGCTTGAAAAGTGGAATAACTTTAGATGATAGATTACCTATACTTGATTCTACAGAAAATAGAACGTTAGCTTGGCACTAACTCAAAATGAAAAAGTTGGAAGCTGTCGTATCAATGTTTGCAAATATGCGATTCTTATACTCTTTGGCGTTTGTCCAATTTGCAAATCGCCGTTGTACACTCACCATATAGATCAGCGTATGTAGCAACTTCCACACCCCTGGCATCCTGGAGGTCCCAGCCTCTCACGACGAAACACCGTCCTGCCCTGTAAAGACAAACGCACTGCCTCGTTTTAGTCTGCATTAATTTCACCGTTGTGCGCGAGTTGTTACGCCGCGGCCGGCGCGGCGCACGATGCTACACTTGAAACCGGATCTATTTTAATTTATCCGACTTGACCATGGTCTAGCGAGCAAATTAACCGGGCACCGTCTGCCAGGTTGCGCTTCGAATCCCAAGGAGGTCTCGAGCGCAAAATTGATTTGCTGGGAGAAATCATGATTATGGAGTTTCAAATATGTGAGCGTTTGTGAAAATTAGGATAACGCCGCACGGCGCGAAACTGCAAGAAAATAATCTCTTGTAAAAAAATAGATCAATCAATATAATGCAGGTCATCTACCTATAGTTCCTATATGAGAATGTAAAGCATTTTCGTTTACAGACTTGGAACGAAAATGTGTTTGTGCGCCGAAAATGTATGTAAATGTCAACTGAAATGGTATAGACATTAAACTTCCTCGGATTTGTTATGCATGGTATATTTTTATTTTGTTATTACTTTATTTTGTTATTAAATTAATTTCAAATTTCACTGCGACAATATATGTATAATAATATAACATAAAAATCGATATTAATTTTTAAAGTATTAATTTACATATTTGTAATTATTAATTTACATATTTGTAAAAATAGTTTAATTTTTAACGACTATAATCGATCTAAAGATGACGGATATAATAGATATCTAACATTGTGTCGCGCAATATGATTTATGCGTGCACTCATTTGTATGATATGCGGAACATATAGATTTACGCTGATTACAGTAATAATTAACGACGCGGATAAGATATCATGTAAAAGTAAAAAGCCGAACGATACATTATTACATGCATTTTTGTCTCATTAACGTTTACAACCTGTAATCTTGAATATGACTATAACAACTGTGGCGACGCTATTACGCTAACGAGAGTTAACACCGACGTAATTTCTGCCGTAATTTCTTGAGTATACCTACCGTTTAGAAATTTATGTAAGCAAATCTTCAATCTTTATTTTTTTTAACATTTTGTAGAGAAAATCAGAAACCCTAATGTTCTTGGCAGACGTTATATTCATTTTCTTCTGACAAATAATAGGTAGAAAAAATATGAATATTTTTCAAAACAATTTCGAATGCAATAGATTATGAATCGTAGATCTTTGAGAAAATTGTGTGATGATAAACTTGATTTTAGTATCAATGTAACACAGAAAGAGAGAAAAAATTTGCCGCTATATATTTATGAAATCTCTAATAGCGAATTCGATTGATCGCACTAGTACGCACTCAGTGCACATTAATGCCGTTATACATTGTTTTAATTTCAATGTAAAAGTAAAATATCTCGAATAACAAAATGTTCAGCATATATATTTTACTAAATAATACAATAAAGTACTCTTGAGAATTTCGCGATTTAATCGTTTCTATATATTTATATTAAATACACATCTTTACGTTGATTTGTGTACAACGGTTTTAATGTGCACTGACAATGAGTGCATCCAAACGAATTAGCTATAATAATACTTGATGAAATAGATATAGTTTATTTAATTGAATTTTTTTATAGTGATTTTTATGGTTATTGGAATAATGCTGTCACATCAGGGGATGCTAACCATTATAACGGTACGTCACAAAAACACACTGTAGTCTATGTAATTGACCCGCGAATAACCGATGCGATATGCGACGTGAAATCGTGAATGCGTTTCGCTATCGAGAATATTGCTGCGTGTAGCAATGTAATCGCGGTCGCGATTGCAATGGACACAGAGATAACCGTAGTTATGAATGGGAAATATCAACGTCACGCATAGAGTGACAGTAGCATACCAATTCCTTGCTTTACACGCTGTTCACGTGTTTACACAGCTGATAATCGCCGCTATCAGAATTTAATTATGTTAAAATTCCAGTTTCTTTGGTCATTTTTAACAACATAATGAGATTATTGTTTCAAAAATTTATTGTATAATTTATTTTTAAGACAATAGTTTTCGCAGCTGATTCACGATTTTGGATGATATGCTGTTGTATACGATATCTCTTTTTATTTTATATAGAAAACGAAGAAACATAACAAAGTATGCAAACAAATCATATTTCATTTTTTGTTCTACTTGTTAGTGACCGCGGCTTTCGCATCTCATTTCCGTAAACAACTGAAAGTCACTAATGAATCAACCTACATATAAGAGAAATATTATCTCGGTTTCAAGATTCTAATAATGCGATAAAGCTGTGACTAGTATTATCATTTAATGTGATAATAATTATAATCGGTTTGCGTATCGTCTAATCAAAACAGAATAAAGGCTAAAGATTATTGGCTAGTTTATTAGTAATACGCAACATTCATTTGTGTTAATTTATTTTTTTCAGCAAAAAAAAAAGAAGAATAACTTGATTATTAAATTTTGAATTATTAAATACTTAAATACAAATTTATGACACAGTATTAATATTAATTTCTTATTAAGGTAGTGGCACTTTTATTATTCTTTATTCATAGATAGCTGTATTTGCAATTATTATTTATTAATTTTTATAAATTTTGTATAAGACATTGTGCTAATAAAAAATGTTTTAATCGTGTTTTAAAAAAGATTTATTTCGGCATCTCATACTGAATTTCAAGGTTGTAATGGAAACATGAACGATATATGATGATTATAGTGACAAGACAGGGATAGCATGAGCAAACCCAATACCGATTTCAAGGCTGTTCGCGGCTCGTTAACTCCGCCGATCGTTTTTGCCGGATTAAATGCATCGCCGCACCAAGCTCCCAGTTCCAATGTTGACAGCGATCGTCTCAGACTGCTTGATTAGTGGGCGAACGGCGCGGTGCCGATCGATATGAAGATGTGATCGAATTTTCTATTCTTGCAAGTAACATCTCGCACCTGTGTGTGACCACCTCAGTAACAAATTATACAGCAATTTTTTGACAGGTGAGATATTCCGGTCAAATGATATGATCGCATCATCAGTGAATCTTCGTACTTAATTCTTTTTTTTTTTTCAGTCATTCTATCGAGAATGGATAAACGATTTTTTAACTGGCATAATCATCATTTTGCCGCGTGGTATAACTCTAGAGACGGAAAAGATGATTTTATGCAGATGGAGTGGTGGCAAAAAAAGTCTACTTGTTTTTCCCGCACAAGTAGATGTAAACATATATTTAGACTTGTAGAGATTTTCAATAAAATCAAAGAGAAATAAAGTTAAATTTAAATTTACTGTAATTAACAAATTAATGGTAAATTGGATAATGACTTTATGTGCACATATATGTGACATAGAGAAAGATTACACATTTTTAAGAAAAATTCTGTCTGAACCTATCCCAAGAGAAATCCCGTTGGCACTGTAGCTTGAAAGAGGACGTTCGCTCCGAGTCTCATAATTCAAAACGAGCGTGCAGTGTCACGATGTCAATTGTAATCCCGCTGGCTGTGGGAGATGAATTAAAAGAAGGAAGCAGAGACAGCCGGTCGTTAAATCCACATGAAGGCATGTATTACGACTTTAATTAAAATCAAGTTAACTAGTATGTTGCTCGTTTAAGTGGCACAACATGGATCATGGACAATGTTTAAGCGCCGATAATATTCGCAAATATCCGTTCGTGACGTTCGAGTTGTTGCGATTGTTGCGAATATGTAATTATTACGGTTGACCAACGTTCATATAGATTAACGCCTACATGTTTCGATCTTGATTTATGTTGTAGCGAATATCAAACAATTAGCGCCAACTGTTTAATGACTCGTACGTAGCCCCCACCGAAGAATTATGATTCTGCGATTGTTGTGTTGAATCCGCGAAATGGTTCTCGGCAATGTCGTTCGATACCACGCAGCATGAAACCGAATGAATGGAGAAACATTTCCTTCACATTAAAGGAGAGAAGCATAGTTATTGAAATTTTCATTGTTAAAAAGCTATATAATAAAAGACTAAGAATTAAGAACATTGTAACATTATATTTTGAAAATAAAACGATATAAAGAGATCAAAAAAATTTAATATCCAAAATGGGTAAAAAATAAATATTATTAATGAACATTTGATTATAATTTTGATTTTGAAGAAATTAAAGAATTTCAAACATGTGAGAGTTGTTGGCGGTTATATGCCTGATATAATGCTGATCGAAATCCACGAATGGATGGTCATGCAAATCATGCAAATCAAAAAACTCTTCCTTCATTCCACGATATTAACTACATATAACTAGTTCTCATATCAACATGGCAACATTTACGCATATTACGTATAGACGAACTTTAACGGCATTGGATTTTTTATTGGATTTCGTTCGTAATGCATAAAAGTTTACTATTTCATATTTATTTTTCGAGTAATATTCGAATACACAACCAAGAATTTTCCGAGAGTTCCAATAAAAGTTTTTATGGTATTGCTCAAATGTAATTTTTACAAGCTTACTTCCGTGATTTTATTAATAACACCACTTACTATATGCCCGTCGTACATTACATTCCTGGTTGTAATGATTTCCAATTGGATTGTCATATGTGCCAACCATTGCGATTTGCGTTACCATTCTTTCTTAATAAAATTTTCATTTTACAGTTATATTGGACATGCCCTCTTTACCATTAACGAGTTTAAAAAGAAAAAGCGCTCGCGATGTTCCACGAAAAGTTACGCGGCCGACACGTTAATAGGAAGAGCAGGCCAAAACGGGTGGTCCCGATGATGGAAGGGTTAATCGGAGCAAGGAGTTGTTTCGTGATACACGAGTACCATGAATACTTGGCGTGTTTTTGATTTGCCCGCCTCGAGCATGTCGGCGGAAAGCATTAATTAGCTGTGCATAACCGACTCGCGTACAAGCGCGCATGACGCACAAGTACACGGATTTCATCGCCTCGATATCGTTTTCTTGCATTTAATTCCGATGCTTATGTATGCGCTCGCTTTAATTAACAAGTAGTCTGTAAGTATACAGTAAA